ACTCTATGCTCCCAAGATGGTGAAAGGAGATTTAAGCCTCTTGCAGAAAGAAAACGCAAGGGTTGCTTCCAGCCTGGCCTGGGCAGGGAGGGGGGAAAAGGGAGGAAGCGCTGCTGAGCGGCTGGTACCTGCCTGGGGACCGCAGCACCCGGAAGGTGCTAAGAGGCAGAGGAGGGAAGGCAGGCAGCAAGCACCTTGGTTCCTCCCCCCATCAGCAGCCACCCCCACGAAATCTCAGCCTGCGAAAGCAGACGCGCTGGCGGTTGGAGTTTTGCACTGCTTGGGAGTTTCCACAACAAGGCTTTGCCTGCCCAGCAGGTGCTGTGAGAAACACTCACTTTCTTATGTTCTTCCAGACATAAACCCATCACTGAGTGAGTCAGAACTCAGAGGTAGCGTGTGTTTCCCCAGGAAGCGGGGTTAGCAACACTGTTCATGATGTTACCAGAAGCAAGCTGGAGATGGTATTTAGTTTGACAAAATGGGAAGAGACACAGGTTTGGAAAACAGACCAGTTCTGCGCTGAATGGAGCTGATGTAGCCTGGTACACGATGGCCTCCTGTGGATTTCTGTCTGGTGCCCTGGACCCCATCACTGTCACTATAAACAGAGGAGCTATAGACACTGCTTGCCTACCTGCTTGCTTGCTCAGTTATTTATATTCACACATAAGACTTGTACCATTTACATCCTTTGACACTGCACCGGACACAAGAATTCAATTCTCTGGCGATCCTTGCACTAACTCTTGATGCTAGTCTGGGTTGTGTATCATGCTGATCAAGAGCCGGCCCATGCCAAACAGAATCTGTAACAGCTAAGCCTCCCTCCTCTTCCCTCTTACCGTGAATCATAATTTTTCCTCTCATGGCAATCAGCTGATTTTTCACAAATCTGTAGGACCTCCATTATTTAAATAAAAATACTTCTGCTTTTACAAACTTAGCTTCTGTTGTATTGAAATGTATCTTCTGTGTTTTGAAAATTTAGTTTCAGACTGATCAGCAGCACTCACTGGAAGATATCTTCAAGGGAGACAATGTAAGAAGCATAGGAATAAAATGAGGACTTAGGAGGGGGAAAAAAAGAGCTAAACCTAGATGATGGGCTGTGCCTAAGAGCGTTTGAAATAGGAAATGGGGGGATTTCTACTGAACCTGTGGCCTACAGAGCAGAGCCAGTTCTGACAGGCAGAGGAACTAAACCAGAGGCAGCAGATCTGACTGCCTTAGCTGCTACCATGCAGATCCTCTGAAACACAGGGGACAAAGTGGATGCATCAGAGTTAAAATGACAACCATCAAGGATTTAATATGTACTGTGATGCTGCAGGTATCTCTCATCAAACACAGCAATTAGTACCGTAAAACTGACAGTATCCTGCCAGTCATATATTAATAGCTGTGATATGCTTTTACACATGTGCTCTGGCTCTTTCTCCCTCGCTGTACACGCACACATATACTTCATGTTCTATGTAAGACTGGCATTGCTCATTTGTAAAACACTTCAGAGTATGTGGCTCATTTTCTTGTTTCACAGATGTGAAAACAGAGCTCAAATCAAGTGTCTTGGCCAGTAACCCAAAAGGCTGAGCAGGGCCTAGAGCCAGGTTTCCTGAGGTGTTGTATCATCTTCTGCCATCTGGGAAACACAAAAGATGTCCCCTCACAGCCTTCAGCATTGATGGTCTATGTACGGTGCCTTTGCCACACGTGTCTGTGCAAAGAGCTCAGTTCTTCAGTCTGTGGAGATGGCACTGCATTTTTCTCCAAAGAACTTCAATTCACACACATTTTCCTGGTAGGTTTTTTTAAACCTTCATTCCTTCTCAAAAATATTATTGACCAGATATCACAATTAAAGAAACTGTCTGTCTCCCAGTTCTAGGCAATTCCCTTCCAAGGGAATTAAGATCATCCTGCTTCTAAAGGATGAAACGAATTTCATCCCAATAAATTTGAAATCAACATAGAACCTGGCTCCTAATCCAGATTTTGCTTATTGTGTCAGAAGTAAGCAGGGGGGTGCACAAGAGTTGCTACATATGACAGTAATTAAAGAAGATTGCAGGACAGATACTTTAACCCCCATCTCCAGCTTCAGTAGCAGTGGCACGGAACTGTTTGGATAGATTATATATTCAGTTAAAAAAAAAAAAAAGAATGAAGTTCAGTCCTTTTTTTTTTTCTTCTTGCTTTATTTTCCATCAGAACCTTAAAAAAGGTGTTGCACAGACAGTAAAAGAGGAATTTAGTAAGGGTCAGAATTAGGTCTCGGGCAGTATCAATGTTTTATTCTTCAATACCTGGGATGAGTACAAATATCCACCTGGAATTTTATGGTGCACTGTACATGCACATAGGTGTTCATGAGATGTATATAACAATTCCATGAAACAGTAATATGAAAACTTAGTAGCTAATCGTTTGAATTGGCTAGAGAAGGGAATTTTGAAAAGACCCTGCTTGGCAAAAATAGCTGCACATTCATCTGCTAAAAATGAGGCCCCTTCAAGGAACATGAAGCTGGGCACCAAAACCAGGTTTGGAAAAATCTTTGCAGTAACAGTTTAGGATAAGATAGCAGCAACCTAAATAGTAATTTTTATCACATAGCTGAAAAGTCCTGAGATTTACTTGGACAATGTCACTGGGAACATTTGTTAAGAATGAAATGCAGTTGAAGCTATTTGTACCATGAAGTCAGACAGGAAATCAGACTAATCCTTGATGAAATTATGTGTAAGCTTGGCTGTCTAAGACTTACTAGAGCAAAAGAGACGGAAGAAAACCAAGCCAGAATGAGATATCGAACGGTACTGAAACTAGGTCACTGTCCTACATTACACAAAAGCTAAATGGAGCTCTGTCATCCCACAGTGTCTTGAGCAAGGACTTTGTCTGGTGCAAATCTCATAGCAGCATCCAAGTCATACTGCTGCACAAGTCGTAAAAAAAAATTAAGCACAACAGAAATGCCAAGACAGGTAGAATGTATGGCATTGAAGGAACACGGGAGGAAACAAAGGGTGTGGCTTCTGTTATAACTCTGCATCATTGCATGATAACAAATTCCCATCAAGAAATCCTGTGACATTAAAAAAAAAAAAAAAAAAAGTCTAATATAATGAATGGGTGCTGAATGGAAAAGCCGTGACATAATTAGATAGATACACTAAGCCAGAAGGAGAGAAGAGGTGCTTAATTAGTAAATAGAAATAAGATTACAGTAGAAAACAGAATCTGTTTTCTACACTTTAGTCTCAGAAAACTTCATCTTGATTAGTTAAGAGACAGGACAGACTTTCTGAGCCAATAGGACTGCAAATGTTAACTGTTCTTGATCCCTTCTCTTTGATATTTAAAGCTTCGGTTCCATTCAAGTCAATTCAATCAATGGAATTTATACATTTTTACTGTATTGAGCACTTTTCCCCCTTCTATAGGCATAGATACAGAACAATTATTAACAATGGAAACTTCAGAAGATGGAAATGGTTTGAAAAGTTATTTCAAACACATTTTTTGTTGATTTCCCCACCCCACCCCTCCATCGCTTATGTTAGTTTAGTAATTAATATGGTTTAACTGCATTATTATTTTTAAATGAAAAAGACCATAATTTCAACACTGAAATAAACATTATCAAAGCAAGTTGTTTAAAGATGAATGGAGGAACAGTCTTTAAATAATAATAATTTAATCAATTAACTGTGGATATCATATATCCTATTCAAAACCACTAAGAAAACTGTTTCTTTGCTGACAGTCCCTGTCTCAGATTAGCGGCAACATTTGAGATTGGAACATTGTTTTCTTAGGTGTAGGTAGAGCCTAACACCCTCATACCACTGCCCTCCCCCAATCTTATAAACAGCAGTTAATCAGAATTAGTATAGATCTTCAAAGAAATGAGCTGTGGGGAGCAGCCTATCTGACAACAAGGCCTTCTAAATTTATAATTTTAATTTAGGCAGTCAGACAAAATGAAAATGTTGGCCTCAGTCTTTATCTGTTTAGCATTAAGGCACATTAATAAGGGAGACTTCTTTTTGTTTCATCTGTGATATGTGAGACTACCCCATTAGTGTCTGCTGACCTGAAGGTCTACAGCTAAACAGTAATTTTAAAGGACCCTAAAAAACCCCTATTTTATATTAATTAATAATTATTAAGAAATATTACTTCAGTAACAATTAATTAACAACCATTTCATGCTGTCCTTGGATAAGTGTCCTAGAGCAAAGAAAACTCTGAACCCCAGTGGAGCAGAGCTTGCCAGGACAGGTCTGTCTCCATCTCAACTCTTTGCTGGGAAGATGGAAACTTGGCAAGATTTGTGAGTATCCAGGATTCATGTCATGATCCAAATTTTGAGCCTCTGCTCCATTTAAATGCAGGACACATCAGCTTCTTCTAGTGTCAGAGTCCATTTGGGTTTATCTGGCTATGTCTATTCAAATAAATAATTACCAGCTATTTTATGGGCTTTAAATTTACCTTATTTTCTAAATGAAAATTGTTCTTGGTCTATCTATGGGAAGTTGGAATCTGAGACAAGAAATGCTCCTCAAGCCGTTAGCATTCACCCTAAATGAAGCTGGCCTGTTTTCACTACAGTGAGCAGTGAAAAAAGAAAGTCTATTAGATACTGGAAATATTGTCTTTCTAAAACCAGCAGATTTTTATTTGTGCAACGTCTAAGCACTGCAAATCTCAGCAGAAAACTACACTGGAACAGTGGGCGGTTCTGAATTGCTGGAAACTTTACAATGGCTTTTATGTTTAAACATCATTTAGCAGCTGTTAAAGGTCAGCACAAATCCTGTACTTTATCAGTATAAATGAAGTCTACAACTGCCAAGAAAAGAATGTATTAAATAATGCAGTGATTATTATCTTAATGTTTTTTTTTCTTTCAGAAGTGAAAAAGACCTCTTAAACAGTTCCATTTTTCTCCTTCTTATTTCAAATTGACAAAGTAAAACACTAATTAAATTATTTATACCAGAAATTTACTTACAGGGATGACACATTTTGTACACAAAGCAAGTTAAACATATGACACATTGTATAGTGCCAGGTGCAGTTGAGAAAGTGTAATACAAGTTGGCATCTCGAGGCTAAAAAAACCCAACAAACTTGCTGCAATGTTTCATTATCAATTTTATTTCCTACCATACACCAAATGTACAGCACAGAACACAATTTTGTTGTTTTGATGTAAGAAATATTAATTGTATGAAGAAACAGTATACAAACTACTCCAAATTAAAAAATGCATACATCATTGCTCTTTACAAAAGGTCTAATTTACAGTATAGCTCGTCAATGCATTTAAACACAAAAAAAGAAAAACAAAAAGAAAAAAATCAGTGCACGTTACAAAACACATCAAGTACAAGGGAGGCAAATAAATACAAACATACTTCACAGAACATCCTGAGCAAACAACCAAACACAGATAAATTAACCTGAAGCCATAGTAAATCATAATAATAAATACATAGGTCAGTAAGAGATTTTTTTTTTTTTACTTAAATAAAATATATAACAAATTTGTTAAAATATTTAGTAAATTAAATTTTAGTCTTTGTAATGAGTGAACTCATTTTGTATGCATTTAACAAGTATAACAAATGTTTGCTTTTTGTTTTTTTAGCAAGAACAATAGCTTTAATAGCAAATTTTTGTTTGGTGTCCTCCTATTTATATTAGACAGCACATATGGTAGCTTTTGAAAAATCGATTTAAAAATAAACACAGCTCCTAAGAACATACATTTTCCCCTGTCTAAACTAAGATCGGAGAGTTGAATCAACCCTCAAAGGAAAAGCAAGCCCCACCTAATGCAGAACAGTGACCACAGTGCATGAGAGTTGAATCACTTTTGAATAGTACTTTTGTGCAGGAACAGTAATAATATAATTGTATATGTCAAGCCTGTGAATGCCATCATATTCAATCTAAATATAAATGAGGCTAATAAAAATAAACACTTTCATTATAGCACGGAGAAATTAAACACACGCTAGATCCATGTATACATTTACACTGAGGCACATATGCACATGAGGTGTGTGTGCATACAAAAAAGGCAGTTTAGCTGGTTGTTTATACCTTTTTCTTAAAAAAAATAAATATAAAAAAAACTTTTGAAATAATGCTTAATTACTTACAATCCCTGAAATAGACATTGCCTCTGTTATAGCAACCGCTACTTTCTGACAGATTCAGAAGGTCCACACCCAGGCTAACCAGATACCGAGGCGCACGCCAGCGCCTCTGCGCAAGTGCTTGTCTGACTGCACCTCCGTCTGTCTGTATGCTCTGTAGCACTTGGTACCCTACCGAAAGACTGGTAACAAGTTCAGTATCAGCCTAGTCTTAGTGAAGAAGGATGGGAGAAACCAGTCACGGTGTTGCTACCGTTCATTCGAAGAGAAAAGCAACCACCGTTGTGCTGGAGCGGTATTATTCCTCTCCAGACTGCTGCCTTCTCAGCTGCCGTTAAGTTCAAACCAGTATTAAATGCCATTTCAGGGGGGATGTGTTTGATTCGTTATGTACAAAGCCTTCAGCTTGGGATGTGTTTGTGTTTTTCAAATCCAAATCCATAGCAATACTGGTCACTTGGTTAAAACCTCAACATCTCATACTAAAAAAGTACCAGTCCTATCAAATTATCCTTCTTGTTTAGAGATAATTGTCATTTCCCTCCATGAGCTAACTCTGAAAAAAACTGCAGTGGTAAAATAAATCTGAAGTTCTCTTGAAACATTTTAAATAATCATTCGCATAGGCTAAATCACACAGCCAAGTCAAGTGCTTTGCTGATTGCTATATTTCATTATTGCTAACGTCTTCTTTAACACACTGTTTTCCAGCATACTGTGCTTTTAAGAGCCCAAGTTCCCCACTAGTGGGCACCATTTATCTTCTCATTCCATGCATCTTCACATCTCATGTTACCGCAAACCCATTTCTGATACAAAGCCATTATAAAAAAGCAGGATGTGAGGAAAATAAAACTAGAACCACGGTTCAGTCATTTGTTACTTTCATAGGTTTTTTATCTTCCTGTACAAACCCAGCAAGTTATTTAATTTACAGTATAACTTTTCAGTCTATTTAAAATCCCATTGGAAAATAAATTAATAAACACATTTGTAAAAATATGGCAGGCCGCAAAAATGCTGTTAAAAGATAAAAAAACCAACTCTTTGATTAGAAATAAATAAAAAATATAAAAAATAGTCGCACACACTTTTTACATTCACTTTACAAAAACTGAGTGCAAAAGAAGAAAAAAAAAAGGAATTGTACTGAAATAAATACAATATACTAACAGAGTGCATTGCTGTTAATACAAATAGTCTGTTGTGTTTTTATTCTTTTTTTTTTTATGTCAGCTGGGAAAAAATTAGTGCAATGTTGCAATTGTAAATGCAGCATGGCAACCTACACCCCTTAGCAGTACATGAACTCCTAACAGATCCATCTGGAGTTTACTGCTGTTAAGTAATTTCTGTTGCCCAGCAGCTTTCACATCCTACACATGGATGCCCTTCACTGCCTGTTTGATACTTTCCAGCAGAGCTTTGCATTCGGGGGAATAGTCCCGTTCCAGATTGCTGTACATGTCTGTGAGTGTATTTACATATGCTTCGAAATTCTGCTCACTGATTGGCCCCTAAATGAAGACAAAACAGATTATAATTGTAGGAGAGAAAATTAAGGCCAAAAAACCCCAAACACCCAACTCCAAAGCATGGAAAAGCAGTGATATAGCAACTGGGGAGAAGTTGTAAACAGGGCAGCCATCCAAATTAATGGAGGGGTTGTAGAAATGAAGGAAGCTGCCTGTGCTTGAGGAACCATACACTCTCCAAGAAAGAAAAGGAGTTGGAGATATTGTCATCAGTGTAACTTGCTTTTTTTATTGAGGCCCATTTGACTCTGGGATTGTGGCTGATGTCCATAACTGTCCTCACCTAAGCTCCCAGGGGCACTCCTGAGATTGGGAAAGGGGACTGCAACTCTGGATACCCAAGTACCTTCCTGGATTTGGCCTGCATTTGCAAGTAAGACATGAAGGACATGGAGTTTTTGAGAAGGTAGAGCTTTCTTGGCTCCAGAAAAATCACCTGTATGAAACAGGTTAAAATTTTGATCTAGGGGCAGAGTAAATAAAGATTCTTGGTATGAAGTTTTCACTCTTTGTGCAGGGTGGGCATTCAGAGAGGGAGATACAAGGGAAAAAAGCCTGTCCTGCACAGTGTGGTACAGGGCAGTGATACCAGGGCTCATTCAGTCCTGGAAGCAACTGTGCCTGCTATTACACAGATTTCATGATCCAGTATCTCTGCAAAGTAAATTAGGCTAAAAGAGCTGTCTGCTAATGCAGCTCTAGTGCTCCTGCTGGTCCCTGAGCTTGCTCATCTGCTTCAAGTGCTGGCAAAACAGTCTCAAAGAAGGTGTGAAGCTGCTGGTTGTGGTCTTACCATCTGTGGAAGCTGAATGTCAGCGAGGCTGGAGATGAGGGCTTGGCTTAGGCCAGCTAACTCCTTCAACAGGCTCTCGTTGTTCTGCTCTATGAGTTTGTTCTCTTCTTCTATTGTTTTCAAATTGCTCTCCATAGATGTGATCTAAAAGACACACGCAGGCACAAACAGACAAACAGACAGACCCTTGGCAGTGTTAAAAGTGCAGTTTGAACACAAAATGGCAGTTGCATGATTGTGAGAGGGGTCTGAAACTCAGGTATGGGGCTTTTTAGGGTAGACATAACTTCTCCACAGAATATTCACAGCAAGAAAGAGGTCGTATTTGCTCTGAACTGATGGACTTCACTGCTGATTCACAGGGAAACCTTCTGGCAGCGAAGCACTGGAGGGTGCCCTGCGACGGGAGGAGGGAAATGAGCTCAGAGGGGAAAGTCAGTCTTGAGCTGGAGTGGAGAGTGTGACTGCAGGGCTGGCAGAGGAGAGGGGAAAGGAGGCTGATGTTTACATTGTTGTCCTGCTCTTACAGCATCCCTGCTGATCGACCACAAAAGCAAGGGCATGGGTATTAGCTGTTGTGCGACTTTACTGCCCTGCTCCTGGGAGGAGGGTAGAGCTGTGGGATGCTGGGATTAGTGACAGGGCTGGCACTGGAAACAATAAGAGAGAAAAACAGAGTGGGAAGGAAACAGAGGTTGAGAGCACAATGGTAATCGCAAAGAAGATCCCTGACCAACAGAATGGAAACACAGAGGTTTGGAGACAGCAGGAAATGGTATCCTTTTAGCATGGGAGCACTGGGAATATACTCAGCTCTGACTGCTTATATGTCAAAGGCAGTGATGAAAAACTGAAGGCAGCAATGGCAGGACCTGGTTCTCCTGCCCAGCTCCTCACCCCACAGTGGAGCAGCAGGTCAGAACCAAGGGCTGCCACCCCTGCACCTGGCCATGGTTTCACAAGGAACAGAGTGATGGAGTCACGTCCTTGGCTGTTATGCCCACCCTCTCCTCATTAGGATGCACATCTCTGCGCTACTTAATTGTCTCTTGCTGTGGTGTTACTTCCCTTCTTCACATGCTGTCCCCAAGGAGAGGAACTCCTTTTTGCCTGCCTGTGATCCACTACATCCTCTCCTCTGGAGGGTGCTCGCAGCAGCCTAAGCCCTGGCCAGGCTAGATTAAAAGGAGATAGAGCAAGCCATGTAGGTGGTGTGCTGTTTCAGCTGTAGTTCAACTCAGACTTTGCTGCTGAGGCTGTCTGATGAGGGAGCAAGTCAGAGAAGAAATCTGACTGCATAATTTGGGCAGATAGCACAGTGATTACCAGCGAGAACTGAAATAAGTGTCCTGAGACACTGCAAAGACACACACACACACACACACACATACACTACAATGCAATGTGGGATGGATATCCCCACAACTTTTGCAGTGTGAAGCCAGATTGTTTAGATCCAGCACAGGTGGCATAACCTTCATCCTTATTTAGATGATACACATGGTGGCGGTTATAAAACCAGCATGAATCAGCACTGTATAGATTCTGGTGTGGTAGAATTACAGAGGGGTGTGATTACAGCCAATTTGATTTAGATCAGTTTAGATTTATACACAGATTCCAGATCTCATTTAGGAAATTTTTTTCTTAAACTCTTATTCTGAAAATATTGAGCAGGCTTCTGCTCTTGCTTTTACCTAGTCTGCCCAGGTGAACTCCCAGGTACATATAGGAATGTCTGTAGGGATGAATGTATTCAGCTTACTCCATAGAACAACTATCAGCATCTTAAAGCTAATTTAATTTTGCCAGCATACAAAAGAATGAAAGATAATTACTTTTTTTACATAGCTCCTGTCAAAATTGTTTGCTACACAGATTAGCAAAAGGCATCAATTCTTTACCAGGTGTTGCCTGGAGGCAAAATTCAAACTATTTGAATAACTAACAGTGGGTGAACTGAACTAGAGAGATTTTCTTAGGTACACATAAGAACAAAATCAACCCCCATTAAGAGTTAGAGTGTTCTGGTAAGAGATAATAACCTCCCTAAAATGGGTTCTGACCACAGTAATAGGATTCTTCCGTTTGGTCAACAGAGGTTTGGTCAACAAAGGAAAATGAATGTTTTGTTTGGTAAATATGATTTGCCTGCTTGCCAAGATTAGCTCCAAACTGCCCTGAATTTGTCACTCCGCAGATCTTCATGACAATACCCAGGAATCTGCTGCTTATTTACAGAAAACAAACAAACAAAACCTGACAAAAAAGCATGTAGGATTTTGGTACTTTTAAGTGCCACAGAGTGATGGGAAAACAAGTCCACAGGGGACTAACTTTCTTTAAACATAGCATTTACATAGCATTTAATTTATTTATTGTGTTTAAACATAGCATAAGATAAGGTAAAACTTGTATTTTGATGCCATACCTGGGTTTGAAGTTTCATCATGTCAGCTTCAATTTTAAGATTGGATTCATTCAGTTCTTTTATTTCCTCATCCAAGTGTCTAATTTCTTCATCACTCTCAATACCTACAAATAGTTGAAAATAGCAATATGAGATTTAAAGTGTCCACATGTATATGGATATATGAGTAACAAGCTGCATTACCTGTTACCAAACAAGAGGATGATAACAAGCTTTGGATCAAATGATTGATCTTTAAATTGCGTCTTTGCTTTCAGTAACAAAATTGTTTCATAGCTATAAAATATCTATATGAGCTGAAACATAGAAGAGGATTTCCAAGTCTTTCTGTGTCACAATCTTTCTTTCCAGTGCAGCATGCAACTACAAGGTGGAGGATACAGAAAGTAAAAATTGCCCAGAAAGAAGAAAGTTTATCATAAAACACAAGGGGGTATTTACATGATGTTTTTTTCTTCATTTTAAAATAAACATAACTGCAACCCTTCTTTTGCAGGGAACACCCTAACATTTCCACTAGTATAACTGCTCAGTTTAGTAAGCTCATCTGTACCTGCTTCTGATCTTGCAAGTTCTGTGGGAGCAAATCTCTGTGCAGAATAACTTCAAGAAGCACAGCCTTAATTACATGCAATAAATAGTGAAATTTAAATAACAGCGAAAGAGAAATTGTCAGGAAGCCAACAAGCATTACAGAAAAAGAAGGAAGGAAGACTTTTACATCCCCACAAATAGGGATGCAAAGTAAAAAAATCTTCAGGCCTTTAATGAAAGCCTTGTCCTGAAAAATACTGAGCAGTTACAGCTGCTGCCCTCTTTCTGCTCAGTATCACTCTGAGACCAGCTCTGCCTGGAGATTTGTGCCACTGTTGTTACTGCTTTCAAACCTATAGCCCTGAACAAACTCTACTGGGGAATCATGTTGGGAAATCTGTAAGCAGCAGTCCCTGCCCCAGTGATAACATGGACACTTGGAAGCAAATGACTCGTTTGCCCAGCATAACACAACCCTTTTCCTCAGCAGTTGGAGGCATAAAGACTAAGTTCCCTAAATCCTGGATCAATGCCCAATTTAGTAAAGCATGCTGTATAAGAAAGAAGACTACTACATATTTCCTCGTATATCAATTCTGTAATTGTTCCTTTACACTTACTACACACGTTAGCAAAATTGTCCAAGTACTGCCCAGAAACTAAACCATGTAGTATTCAAGTTAGCGAGCAGAGTCAATTTCTGCACACAATATTTATCACTTCTTACCTTAGTCATCAGATACCTAAGTCCTCCTGATCTGTAACTAATAATTTATTAGCAATAACTATTAAAAGCATCTCCAAATGAAAAAATAAAGCTCTGAGAGAAAATGAGAGCATACCCTCAATGTTGAGTTATGATGATGTAAATGAGGAGAATTTTATAATCTCTCATGCAAAGATTTTTGTTATTCAAGATTGTTATTGCTAGGGACAACTGAAAGGAGTGAGAATTAATGCCAGAACGGCAGAAAGGGGCATAAGTATAAATGGGAGTCAAGGCCCTTCTATCTAAATAAATGTCATCGTCTTTTACAAATCTCCTTACCACCACTTGCTTTAAGCTTGATAGTCATTAATTCTTCCGAAATTTTGCCCTTTTTTATGGCTTGTGCATTCAGAGGACAACCAGACAGGCTGAAACAGATAGGAAAAAGAACATTAGCACCCACTTGAAAATGGCAACAATCCTTTCAGGCAATATTATCATGCACTTGGACAGACCTCTGTACCTAAGGTCACATCACTATCTCCATTATAGCATAGCTTCAGGGAATGACATAACTCATAAAGAGCCATTTAACTGTATATTCCAGTTTGAAAATTGGCACAGAAATCTCAACCTATAAGTAAACAACTCTTAAGCATATTTTAGAATAATTAAAGTAGCCGTGGCAGCCACTATTAAGTTAAGTTGCATTTACAGAATTTTTCAAGTTCCAACACTTATAAATAAAACCTCTCAATTGTTTTTATTGAGGGCTTGTACTCCAGAAGAGAGGGGCAGTATGGTAATTTAAAATCGCAAGTTTACTATCAAAAAAAAAAAATGGTTAATGGGATGATTTCCACGGTGCTCAACTATTGTATCATTTTGTTGATACATAATAATGATCAATACAATAATAGTCTGGGTATACCCTATAGACTGTAATAGCTTTTTTGAATGGTTCTATTATATAGTCAGTTTGCTTTTTAACCACTGTTCACACTAAATTACATTTTGCTATTTCAAAGCTTACAATTTCATCAGCTGGTAATTATCTGAGGCAATTTTTATAGCCCACTAAAGGGCTAAGATGAATTGCACTGTCTTAATACTATCTTTATAAATAACAAAGAAGAAATGCCCATATGCTGAAGAACTGGCAGAAGGATTTGTATTCAGATGGAGCCAAGTAAAGAATGAAGAAAAATTTTGTTCCACAGGAAAAATGGTTGGTTTGTGAGTGTGTGTGAAAATTAAAAATAAAAATCTTAACAGACATGGTGTTTTCACATTATATATATTAAAAAAAAAAAAAAAAAAGCTTTAACAGTTAGCTTCACACTTGCTTAGCTAAAAGCTATAAAGGGAAACATGCTAGTTCTCCAGTTAGAAAATGCTGCTTAATATCTCTGCCCAGAGCAGATAACTAACTGGAAGAACGTCTCAAAGCCATGGGTTACTTGTTAGGTTTCAAGTGTGCTAGGGAAGGGTATCATATCACAAAAGTAAATTTACAACTTCATTTTAACTAACATGATCTGGAGTGTGATCCAGCCTTAGGTAGGACAGAAATCATCTGTCATCTGAGTTGCAACCAGCTAACATACTATTTATGTTATTTGCTGGAAGTTATCATATTGCTTAGCATGAGTTCATTAGCCCCAATTTACACGAGTGTCCTAATGTGAAGACTTTGACATGGGATATAGATCACAAAGTTAACACTGGACTCTGAATTTGTTTGTTACCTTGGACATTCTTGTGTTGGAGAAGTTGGCTCAGAGTGTTAGAAAGAAAGCAAAGGAGGCATGGAATGTGAACTTAATTCCTGTCACAGACAGAAGACCAAACTTTGCCAGGTACTAATTCAGTTTCTACAGCCAGATTCTTAGAGTAATATTGATTGAACATGGTCAAATATACTATCTTGGTGTTTACTTTTACTGGTTATGTGCATGATTCCTGTTTTGTAAGTATAGTTTTCTTCATAAGATTATTTTAACTTCAAGCTTGGGTAATCCACTGAGTTCTACATGTTTACTTTTGTGTGGTTCTAGCTAGATAAATACAAAATTTATGAAAAGCTTTTCCACTGGTAGAAAGATGAAATTAATGCAGCCATTGGTCTTGCTAAATAAACCTTTTTTTTTTATGACATTTTGACGATATTTGCATTTTCTGTAAAAGATATATAGATACAACTCCATATTTGCTTAGGAAAGAACTCTGTTAAATTTTAAACCATATAGAAACTGTGCTAATTGGAAGAAAAGACCTTGGAAAGTCAAGATGCAATGGGAACATAGAAAAAGTGGTAAAAGTTGATCCTAACTCTCTGCAAGTTATTCTGATCCATATTACCTCAGTTGCAATGTAAACTATGTTGTTACTTAAGAGACTTCAGCACAATTTATTCAGACTGTAACTTCGCATGTTGCCAATTCAACAGTGGAATGTTAAGGAAAAATGAAAAGAGAAAACACAAAGTTATACCTTCTGTGGGTGACAAAAACATTATTAACATGACCCAGCCCGTTGCAGCCTGGCAAAGGACAGTGTGGCAGCTCTTGTTTGTTCAGTTTCCAGGATAGTGAAGACCCATTGACAGGACTCTCCTTCTGTCTCTTGGCAGCCAAAGGACAACCAGAAGCAGTGCGATGAGAAGTGTATTTACCTGATATGTGACCTTGGCCATCACAGCCTATCACTGGACATCTACAGAAACACAGCAAAAGAATCCTTATTTTCACTGGAGAGAGCAGGCAAAGACAGTCTTAAGAAAGTCTGAGAAAATAATTTCAGCTGCCTGTGCCACTTTCAATTAACAGATTAAGACTTGTTCCCTGGAGGCACACTGTACCTGAGCATCCAATTCATGTCAAGCTGAGTTATTTGGGTTCAGCTGATTTTAAGATTAGACAATTTAAAATACAGTCATACAGCCTAAGAAACTAAACCATTCATTTAGATAGTATTTTACCAGAAAAGAAAATTGAAATTCTACCACAAGCAATAAATCACACTTGTACAAGTGTATGGAAAGTCAACAACTCTCCTCTTTATCTAGGCTTTTGGCATGAAGCTGAGGATGGGTTCCTATACCTGGAAAATTTGTATCACCTCATGCAAATACTTTCAAAGAAAAGTTTGGGATTTTTTTTGTCTGTTCTGTCAGTGTCATACAGCCTCTCATATATCCTTATCTGCTATTAAGGACAACATTGTATGCAACTAAATCTTCATATCTGTATTCTGGTAGTTATCATTTAGTTATTTTAATGGAACATGCATTAAAGTCAGTAATGTAGTGAATCTCTGTTGAGCTTCCAGTTTTCATTTTAAGTGAAATTTTAATTTTCTTATAGAGGGAAGACTGGAGATTTGCATATTTTTAACTTCTCAGACACATTTTGAAAGTGTCACTCTGATTTAAGTGACTGACATGTTAAGATTTCACCACAAGCAGAAATAATTTGTTTTCCTTCATTTTGCAAAATTTTCCAAACAAGTGGCACTTCCATAGCACTGTTTAAAATAATTGGACCAATGCAAGCTGATACAGCAATCCTTTCTAACTATTCAGGCTCCACAGTTGGTGATGGTCTCCACCAGCTTCTCTAGAACAGAAACACTTGGTTTGACACCAGCTCTAGGCCATATTATCACATGGCTCAGATGAACTTCTCCTATGATGCCTCAAGTCCTGAGCTCTTACAGGCTTTTTTCCCCCCTTCACTGGTGGTAGACCACTGCTTTTGTACTTACTTAAGTTCAGGGTCTTCTTTTTCTTCCTTGGTAGGAGTCACTTTGATACCTCCTTTTCTGGCACGAGGACAACCAGATAAGCTGAAAGAAACACACAGAACAAAAGCCACCTCTTTCTGCTGCTGCTTGGTGAGAAGCCCGAGAGCTGCAGCCCCATGTGATGGGACAGTTTTTACCTTCTGTGGGATGCATAGTTCCCTGTCACATGGCCAGAGCCATCACAGCCAGGTGTCGGGCACCTAGAGAATAATAGAGAGAGCTTAAAAAATATGGCTTCAAGGGTACACACTAAATAACATGTACCTTCTGCATTTTGTCTAGGGTAGAAGAAAGAACAGCAGAATTTTTGGTGTATAATTAGAACTAGTTCTTTCTGATTTTTTTTTTTTAATGAGCATATTAGCCTTTATACTTTTTTTTTTTTTTTATAACAGAGTTTTAGTAAGGAAAGAGAAATATATTGCATCTGATGTGTAGATTTAGTTAGTTTATAACACTGTTTGCACCAAACATTTTTCCTTGTAGAGGATCAACATTATAAAAAAACCCCAGCAGCTTGATGTAGATCTATTTATAAATTTACTGTTATGTGTTTGTTATACATGTAACATATACATATATGTTACGTAATGTTTTCAGGTACAGATATAAATAAGTACTTTGCCAGTATTTACGGAAGGAGAAATGGAAGCAGAGAAGCAGTTTTATTTTTGGGCATCGGAAGATGATAACCAGAATTTGAAATGAATAATTTGTATACTCTATCCCTGTAAGCATACAACAGGACCATATCTTTCTACCACTAGATTCAAGTGGGTATTCAGCTTGGCAACTGGATTATGCTTATGTCACATAGTCTGTGTGTGTGTGCAACAAACAAGCCTTTTCAAGTATGAATATTTAATACTAAACCATCCATAGAATGAAAGGAAACAAATCTGCCTGTTACAGTGGTCTGGGAGGGTGGGCTTCTTGCTTACTGGTAATATGAAGAATGTTCTCAAAAGCCTACTGGAGTTGGTAGGTCTTTCCACTGACTTCTGTAGGGTTTTGAGCAGGAAGGTGACACCTTCCATCTCAGTTCAGATAATTGATTGATTTTTTTTTAATTTTTTTTTTTTTATTTGAGGGTATTGTATTTCTTGTGTGGGTTTTTGTTTAATTTTGTTTTGTATGTTGGTTTTGGGTTTTTTTCTGAGAAGAGAAACACACCTCAGCACGCAAAGTAACACAAAAAAATTATTTACCTTTAGAAGTTGTGCCAGCCATTTCTCTGTTTCTGTATTATACAGCACAAAGTTCTTTGCTAAGCATCCCTAAGGGCCTTTTGAATGCTGATTTTTACAGAGAATCAGAATTACAAAAGGGGTTGTGCCAAGTAATCTTGTAATGAACCATTAAGGAAACTTGCATTGTTCAATGCTCTCTTAAGGGTCTCAATTGTTACTGAGTCTTTCCTGAGGTGAGGAGATGCGTGATTTAATCTAGTCATCGGTAGACTGCCATGGAAAACACCTACAAATATAATTGTAATATCGCATCTGAGTGTGCAGGTGTATCTCTTCACAGAATATTTAAAACTATTTTTCTGTGAACAATTAATTTGTCAAAAAATGTGATTATTGGACATGACCAAATTTATTCACTGATTCAAGTAGAATTCAGCAAATAATTTCAACTGAAGAAAGGGGAGAATTTTTTTTTTTTCTTTAAAGATAATGTCAAAACATTTCACCATGATATTTTCTGAACAAAATATTTTGGCAGAATGACATACCTCACACTGACAGTGAAGGTAGAGGTATGGGCTGCAGAGTGCCAGATATGCTTGACTGTGTAGAGCTAAATGTTGACCTGTCTAAGTGTGGGACAAGGACTGGGCACAGTGTCATGTGGAGCAGGCAGCAAGGGCAGATGTCTGGAGAGTGTGAATGCTCACAAGTAAATCCAGAACACCTGCCAAATACTATGAGTATTAATTTTGGCTACTTGTTTTATCAGATGATCACAGATGGACGAGCTGTCCGCATAGACTGGACGTGGATTTTAATTCAGTAAGAGCTCTTTGTGGAAGACATTCAGATCTGAGAGTCTGAGAGTTATGGACTTAAAAAAGACACTGAACTAAATTTATGTCTCTCCATATGTATTTACTACTTCTCACAGTATCTGGATTTCACAATCAGAGTTGAGTCCAAGGTATTCTTGAAGTCATTAAAGATTTGAGGCTGAGACACTATTAATACTGATGAAATCATAAAATGTTATTTCAGGTGGATTACTGACAAATTAGTAAGAAGCTTCACTAGCCAGACTCCTAAGCTTGACCACTGGGTTGGGTTTTCAAAATACTGGTTATATGTTTGCATGGATTTTGAAGTTCCACAGCACAAGATACACCAACAGTATATTGCCTTACAGTCAGTAATACTGTGGATCTTCATCAGCTTTTAACTGGCTGATGAGTTTGGACTGGTGCCACAATTTAGTCATCCTCCGTTTTGGATTCCTGTGCAGAGCCACAAAAGTCAGATTTACACTGGAAGGCCAGAGGCCTCAGGAGATCAACCTAAAAGATGTCAACTCTCAAGTGGGTGTAGGTTACAGATTCTTTTGCAATTCAACAAGTTTGTTTTCCAAGAACAAATCTCTCAGTGATTTCACACACAAATTCTTATAAGTATACATTGAGTACTTGCTATTTTGATCCCTTCTCCAAGAGGGTTACTTTATGTTTAGGTAAATAAAACATAAAATCAATACACTGAGCTTCAGATCTAGGAGCATTTCTGGTACTTTTACTCCCTGGAAAGCTCACAGATGGTTGGATATGAACTTTAGTTAAGGCAAACCCACAGAGGTCAGCTGAGAAAACTATTGCCTGATATATGTCACACTGCCTATGGAATATAAATCAGTACCAATGTGTTGTGTGAAACCTGTCGAGAAGAACTGCTAGAATCTCTTCTAAAATTGACATATAACCAGTGAAACAACTTGTCTAAGGATAGGACTGACTGACTACCTATTCCGTAAAGCTTCTGAACTGTAAGTAAATATCTTTCTAAAATACACTGCTAAAATTCTTTAAGGCTTGATAAGCAGCTATTTGGTGAAATAGAATAATCAGTCATAATTCTCCCTTATAGCTTTAAAATTGGTGCATCATCATCAACTTTAGTATGTTTTAATTTGACCTCCTTAGATTGCTCTGTGCAAGCAAGAATCCTCAGATGAAAATTTCCTGAATCTGACTGAAAGGCTCACTTTTTGAACAGATCTTCCTTATTTCCAAACTGTAAATCACATGGAAGCCTTGTATCTTTGCTGGCTTAGAGTTACATAATTAAAGCCAAAATCTTATCTTGATTCTGGCAAATGAAACGTGAGTACCATTTGGAAAAAAATACACAGCTTTTTCATATTAATGCCTAACTGCATGAGGGTACTTTCATGGCCTGATTCTATGACCATTTATGCCCTTTGCTCTCAAGGCAATAGTAAAATTAACTATTGATAATACCAGTGTATGCATGATCGCAGTTTTGTGCATGTGATTTGATTTAGCCAAGGCTTATCAAAAGCAGAGGTTTGTTTGAAATTTCACCTGAACAATGTTTGCAGGAAGCTAAAATAAGGTGGTACATTTGAGGAGAATAATTTTATTGAGCCCTTTTTCCTTTTGCAAATTGTCTGTGAACAGATTTTGATTTTTGCTCTTTTTCTAGTTAATTGAAATTAAATGCTAAGTGCGTTATGCAACATATTTCTGTCTGTGAAATGTTCATGAACTTTGACTTTGTCTTTCACAACTCACTTATTATACATGGCGTACAGTGTGCAGTTTGTCATTTAAGTCATATGCTGTTGCTCCTCTTTCCTTATGGCATGACCAAAACTCTAGAAGCTTTAGTGGAAAAATAACCATATTGGTATGCAAATTTCCTTATTCACACATGAATATGGGGGGGGGTGGGGGGGTGCTGCATGAGGCGCAACTATTCAAAATATTTGTGTGACTGTCTATGTATGGCAGAAAGCCAACAAAAGCAAGGACAAATATATATGACTCAGCAAATGATTTCAAATTTGTCAGCATTTTCGCAAATCAGTTTCTTGCTTCTTGTGCTGCTTTTTTTAAAACAAACTAAACCTAAATTTTACACCTTTGAGACTCTGAGATGGAAAAACTGAAGCATTATGCCTGTGTGTCGGTTTACCTACTGACTTTGGGAACTGCTTTGATCAATTGCCCATGTAAATGGCCTTTCTTTGCCCTTTTGCGACATCTCCAACAGGTTCAACTCCATAGCCACCATTGGTTCAGCATTTTGTTTATAATTCAAGTTGTCAGACTAGAAGATAAGACCACTAACATTTGGTCTGAAGAAGTTGTGACTAAACACTGAGTCAAGCATAAATATAGTCACTCCTACTATTAATATCATTAGAAAAGCATAATAGTGCCATGATCAGACTATTTTCTTCTATCTATCTGGACTAGGAATGAACCTAAAGGACAGAAAGGACAGTCATGGGATTCTCCTTTTTACACGCATTCACGAGTTTTTCCAAGCCATCTATTATGGGATCCAATTTACAAGTTGCAGAGGGAAAGCTATGAAAGAACTCTAATTATCCTTTCCTATTCCCCACATCCTTATTGACAAAGCCAATTCAATAACTAGATGACTGGTTGCCAGTGCCTCTCTTGACTACAGATTTTTGAAATATTCATATGTCCCTATACATCTGTCTATATAGCAGAGCCTGCACAGTCCTTTTATAAGTGACATTTCATGGTGAGAATTATGCCAGCACAAAATCATATGACTTGATGTCTGCTTCAATGACATTAAACTTGTAGTATATGGTAGTGAATGATAAAAAATGATTTGCAGATTTCTGGTCTTGTTTTTAGATTTATTCTAACTAGATTTATTTCTAACTAAATAATTCTAATTTATTCTAACAGGATCAGACTGAGTTATCTGCCAGATCTGTCTTACATGTTAGATATTTTCTATGTCTCGCTGATTTAGAAATACTGAGAGAACAGCAACTCTTTTAGCATTTACAATTTTTTTTCCCCTAGGTCCTGGTTAATTCATGAAAATGAAGTGGAACAAAAATGAAGAGAGACAAATGGAGAAAAGTAAACTCTATTTCATTCAAAACCTTTCAAACCAATTCACTGCAGAATTTGGACAAAGGTTTGACACAACTCAGAGCAATTCAAATGAACAACTGCATTAAAGTAGGGGACATGTTGATTGAAGGTAAATAACAAGAACATTTGTGCTATTATCAATACTTACTTAAGCTCCTGAGAGTTAGCAGCCATAAGGGATTTTAATGTCTTGTCAGCTAGTGGGCACCCAGAAACGCTGAAAAAAAAAAAGATGTGAAATATTTTACTAAAAGAGTTTTTTTATTTTTCTTTAAACAGCAACCTCCAGACAATCTATGACTTAGAATGGGGAAAAAAGAGATAAATATTTGCTCTTGGCAGACGAGGAGCAGCCAATATCAGTCTGTAGTTCTTATATTACTGGAAAGATACACAGTCAGGGCCAAAAGTTTCTAAGCCCCTGTAAAGTTTTGCGTGGGGAGGCAGTGGTACACAGAGTCTATGTAGCCTACATGAAGGGCAGGTAGAGCATAATGGTCCATGTGGATGGGAAAAGGCAGAAACTGCTTCCCTCCTGCTCCCAAAAGGAAAGACAGGAAGTTATTGTTTCAACCCCTAGGTTGACAGTGGGCTATTCTAAGGAAAATATTTAGCAACCTCAGATTATGTTAACAGATCTATGACTTTCAAAGCCATTCATAGAAGTATCTGCAGAAACTTCATTAAAATTTCATGCACTAGCACCTTTACAGAGAGTGCTTGTACACTTAGGGAAATGGAAACTTGACTAAATAAATGACTTATCTGCAGGTCTCAACTAAGATATGCAGCTATGGTAATAAGCATATGCTGCTTAACTCAGTCTACTGAGCCCAAACCTTCACAAAATATAAAAAAAAACTCCCAGGAAATCTAGCCACATTTCTGTCTGGATTATTTTCTGCAAATTACTTTTGGATACTTATGCATGGTTAGTATAAAAATGTTCAAAGATGACAACAGCTAAAAGAAGCTCTATTTCCTGCTTTAGGCTTCCTGTTGTTTCTTACCTGCGGTGTGAGGCATAGTTTCCTGTTACATGACCGCTACCATCACATCCTGGAGTTGGACAGCTATGCAAAGAAGATGCAGTAAGAACTTAGAGTATGTATAATACACCAGATAGCTCACCCTACTCTGCAGTAAATTACATAATGATCCTTAGGTCAACCACAATCATCGCTGCGCATCTCAACACTATCATGACACTACAAAAAACTATCAAAACTTATACAACACTTCTAGTTTTCAATTATTACTTGAAGTATAGATGGAAAAAAGTTTTCCTATTTCCACCATGCAAATGAGTCAAAACCTTATATTTTTATTCTATGTATTGTGAAATCACCACGCTTTGTGTAGATTTTTGGTTATGACTTGATTTCTTAAAAGGACAGTTTTATTACTGGTACCAAATTTTCACAGTAATTCATAGGTGTTAGGGATGAATTTTCTGATTTGACCTCCTGTATAACACAGGCCAGAAAACAGTAATATTCAAACTAATTCCCTCAACTTCTGACTAAAATAAGGCACCTTCTTTAGAAACACATCCAGTCTTTATTTGCTGTCATAAGTGAAAAATTAGCTGTTACGGTTGCTTGCAGAACAGAAAACACATCAAGCTCACACAGCTGAAGTTCAGCATCAGCACGAAAGTTTCCCGAGAGGTTTCTCAGCTGAACAGAGAAGTGATACAAAGGTGGTGTACATTTAGCACAACAAATATGTCCCTTTATGCCAAGAGACAAAAGTATGTTTGACCTGGAGAAGGTGTTGTAGCTTCTGTTTTCCTCAGCCCTTCTTCAGTCATAGCACTGAGCTCATTTATCAAATTGGGATACAGTCCTATGCAAGAGGGCAAAGGTATCAAGAAATGCAATTTGTTGAAGGGGAGAGTAGCTGAATTAAGTATACCTTTCTACAGTGTTTTACAACACTAACACCAGCCCTTCAGAGTCACCTTATAAAGGGCTGTGTCTTTCACTGGGCCCATGGATAAGAAGGGCAAGCAGAACCTACAAAATCTTTTAGCTGGTGCTCCATAGTAATGAGTAAGGTGTACCTGAGATCCTCACCTGGCTATTTTGTCTGAGCTGGCAGAGTGCTAGGAACTTTTTTAAATCTATAAAGAAGCCTTAGGAAGACATCAGCCTCATTTTCACAGCCCAGTTCAACCTGAGCAATGCAGTTATGGGACAATTAACGTGGGAAAATAGAAAGCACGTGCTAGCAGGTGTTATTTATAAATTAGTTCACTGCAACTGAGCTAATCATGTCAGAAAAATTTTTCTCTGCAAGTGTTTATGTCATTTTAAAAACTTCCTCATGATGGAGCCACCTGTACTGAATTGTTCTGTACATGTCCTGAGCTCAATGGGGTCACAGAAATGAAATGTGATCTTTATGATACCTGTAGATTTTTCTGATAAATTAAAAGTATTAATTCTTTGATTTTCTGGACAGCTACATTTTAGATACCTGTTTCTACTCACTGTTTGAAAATAATACATTAAAACTGCTGTAAGTGGATCATCGCCCCAGGAAATACTCTGGATATTATTATTTAGGAGAGTAGAAAAGTATTTTACAGACATCTCACAACAGGTCAATATCACAAAGGAATAAATATTATAGAAGAAAAGCCATTAGTTTTCAGCAAATAAACTCTAAGTGATTTTTGTACGCATTTGTTTTAGAAGAGGCAAAACAAAACTGACCTGTAGCAATTTAGGTCATGAACTACAACTGCAGATATAATGTGAAGAGTAGACAACATGCAGACTCCATGGCATGAGGGGAAGGAATCACTCTTCACAGCAGTTTGCCCCAGGGAAATATAATTTCTAGAGACAGAGGTGGATCTAACTCATTCAGTACCACTGAGTCTGGGGAGCAGGACACGAGATGATGGGATGTGACTCCTTTATGGGTGAGCTTGCAGTGATTGTTGCGGACTTTATCACTAAATGATACACTTGTCTAGAGAGACCTACTCTGGTTCGGGACAGAAAGGAAAGTCATATAAATGGCTGCTAAATCCTAGTTGACTGTTACAATGAAAACACTCTGTTGATATCAAAATGGTGTTGATGTGAATCCAAAGGGTTTCTGTGAAGAGCCTAGACAAGATTTTAAAAAGTAACTAGTGTTATGAACTGGTTGGGACAATATTACTGACAGGATTCTAAACTGAAACAAGCTGTTGCATGCAGAAAGATTTAATGGAATTATCCTGTTTTCAGTTTAGATAGTAAAGTTTTGGAGCTTAAGACAGAGAAAGGGAGTCTCTGTACTTGGGAAAAGAGAGTATTAGCTTATTCTCCGGGAGTGTGAATTTGTGCATCCACTCGATTTTCACCAGAATAACTAACCCTGCTTTGAAAGAAGGAGATGAAGGAATGAAGCTTACAGGTTAGAAAACCCTGGGGCAGCTCCTGTCTTGTGTTTTATCTTTTTATGAATTTTGCATGTTTCCTATCTGAGAAATCCCCAGCATTTCTCCAAAAACTCTCAACAGTGTATCTATAATAATAATTGTCCATATAAAGTTTTTTAATTATGTAAGCATTAGCACAGCTAATCTGTAGCACACTACAAAACTGTGTTTTTGTTGCCCATTTGTAACCTATCTATCCAAGGAATAAGGAGTGATACCCAGTATTACATTAGTCATGATTCTGTCCAGACCCCCAGGTCTACCCTGGCTTGTTTCAGCTCCAGACCTCATGTCTACCCGGTTGCATAGACACAACAGGGAACTAACTACCTGCAGTGAGCTGTCATGCAGCTCTGCCTGCTCAGCTCCTGTGAATGCACTCCAAACCATCACTGAGAACAACAGCGTAGTCAGTCTTTAGCAGGGTAGAGGAAAACGTGGCATTTTTTTGTGACTCACGTGATGAGTTCCTTTTTGAGATCTCTTGAATGAAGCTTAGGTTTAGGACTTGGTATGGAGACATCTCCTGGATACTTCTTTTCCTCCATATTTTCTGGAGAGCTCACTGGATCTTTCTGAAATGTTAGATGAGAATATGACAAAAGGTTTCTGTCCTCAAGGCCTCCCATATATTCAACAAATAACTTGCTGTAACAAGAAGAGCATCTCTTGTAAAAAAAAAAAAAAAGGGTCTTAAGCAATGATGGAGAGAGATGAGAAAGTTTAGTAAATCATAATTTTAGGATCTTATAGTTAGACTTCTAAAAATGTTGAACTGTATATTTGTGAAAGTATTTCTGAAGGTGAATGCTGTTTTAAGATGTACCTAAGGAAAAATTGGTTCAGATTTATAAGATGGTAATAAAGACCAAAGAAAAATACCTAGAGAAAATAAAAGCAGTATTTAAATATATAGAGCCAAATGAGACTTGAAAAAGTATGTTCTTGTTTTCTCTGTGCATGACTGAGTTTTCTATACAGTTCACGTGAATACCACTGTACTGTGAATTACAAAATTACAATCATAAATTAAAAACCTCTGTTGTACATAAATGTAAATGCAAAGTTTTTAGAGCTGTAGAATATAATGATTTGCTATGCAAAGTGCAGAGTCTTGTTAAAGTAAAAATCATAAGAACAAAAACCACTTTGAAATTTTCTTACTAGCAGTCTGCTAAAGGTAATTCTTGATTTCTGTTATTTGTAGATTAAAATCAACACTGCTACAGTGCTGTCTGATGGATGGTATGGATCATGAGTATTCACTCCTTTGGGAAGGCATTTTGGAAATCTGGGGTCCTGAAAGGAAATTACTTTTTCTTTTTTCTTTTTTCTTTTTTTTTTTTTTTTTCCTGAAAAATCTTCATTGATGACTTCAAAATAGCTTGGTTTATGCTGTTTTGATAATTAATGCCTTCAGTTATTATTATTTTTATGAAGGATAAGTATTTCCTTTCTGGAGGGATGCTTTGTGGATATTGTATCATTCAAGAATTCTCCAAAGCTTATAGCATCAGTTATCAAATCTTTATTAATCCCTTCTGGGAATTCATATTGGTTTTGGAACTCCATTCCTGTACTTAAGTAGGTATCACCCAGAGATTTCTGTCTGTAGGAGCAGAAACTGCTGCTTGTGGTTGAGGGGAGAAGCTCCCAGCTTCTGCTAAACTCATGGGGCTGGTGCCATAGATGCTCTGGGCTTGTACAGCTGATGAACATGCCAGGACAGAGGGACAGGGATGTCTACAGAGCTGTTAACACAGAGCGGAGGGCTGAGGAGAATCTGGACTGAAAATGGAGATTCTGCCTAACGGGACTTGTAAGCTCTGCGGGGGTGTTTCTTCTGATAAAGCTTCCATATGGTCCTCAATTCTGGCAGCTCATCTTTGCCTGTTTGGAGACTGGATCCTCAATATGACTTCCTTCTGCTTTCTGGTACTGGCTACCCACTGCCTACTGAAACTCACACTACATATACATATAGAAGCCATGCCATATTATTACTATATCAATTACTACTGGTTTTTCTAACCACATTTGTGGGGTTAGTTTGTCTGGGAATAATCTCATCTGTTACAAATATAGAAAGCAAAAAAAACATATATTCAGCTTTTCTAAACACTTTCATAGTAATTATTGAGTAATTATTTTAAATAATAAACCAACCCCTGCTATATTTCAGGAATTTAGAATTTTATTTCTAAAGCAAAACTTCAGCTAAGGAGTAATAGAGAAAATTAAATACAATTATAAGTATAGTTAAAATGTTATAAATAATAAATAGTTGAAAATCCTCCAAATATGGATACTAAACCACTAAAAACCAAGTGAAAAATGAATGCTAGGATTCAAGAAACTCCAAAGACTGTTCTCCAACACTGAGTTAAATCCTGGTTCCAGTGTCATATAGGGCTGTTTTCACCACTGCAATCTGCAGAATAGGGATATGAGTTCCTGACTCTGTCTGCAGGTTCTGATCTGCCTTTCTTACATACACATAAATGCAACTCCTACAGGTATCACCAGTGTAAGTCACCGGAAAATCAAAAGCTTCCAAAAGAAACAACAAAATGGTGACCCTCTATGGCCAGCTGGAAGGGGTCAGATGTCAAAATAATTTTAAAAAATACAGGTAAAGTGGTTTATGCTTAATATAATGGAGGTTGAAGAAGACTAGCTCATCAGTATTCTCTCTATCAACTAACTGGTAGTCTACATCTGTACCACTGAACTGAGGACCAATGCTGCATTTCTAATAATTTAGTGCACGCCTTGGCTGGATCCTAACTTTGTATCAAGACCAGGCACACATTAGCCTCTTCCACTTCTTGTCAAAGGTCCAACTGAAAGGATCCTGAAGTAGAGGGTGATAGAAAGACCACTCTGGCGCTGTGTGATACACCCCAGGATGCACTTGCAGCAAATAAAAGTAGCTCTAGCTGTTTGTGCTGCAGGTTTTATTTATATTTTAATGTACATAGCCCATGTTCTTTATCTCAGATGAAAGATATCTCTTGATCTTTTGCTGGTGATGGACGAGAAATTTGTGTGTGTGAGTTATTCATCATGTCACTGTCTGATACTGGCTGCCGAGAGGACTGATCAAGAATTATGTATATCAAGGCTTGACAAAATACTACAGTATTACAGTTCACAGCTTCATTTAATGATGTTTCACTGAATCATTTAACAAAAATAAGATTGCAAGATGAAAGTTGAGTACATCTACAGCCACAGCAAAATTCACACCAGAGGGCTTAGAATTGTCGTATTTTCATTTTCTATCTTTGAAAAATTTATTCTTTTCAAATCTTAATTGTGAATTTCCTTAATTGACTTATTAAGATTTGTGATATTTTTACACCGAAAGCTATACACACACATACATACACGAACAACTACAATTCCATAGTAACTAGCTTTTTGAAAAATAAAAAAAAAAAATTAATAAGGACCAAACCAGGAATAAAGTTTGTTTCCTAGTTAACATCCCTTAGTATATTTCTGAGGAATGAGGGAGACATATAGACATGTAAAAGGTGATTTCTTCAGCATTTTTTTAGCACCTTGTTGAACACTTGGTATTATTCAAGCAGCATGAAAACTTCAGATGGGTAGGAACTGCAAAAGGAAGACAGTGCAAAGGGAATGCAGACAAAGGAATATAAGAACTCTGCCTTTCTAGGACATTACATCAGTACATATGGCCCAAAAGGGGCTGCATCTGTCTGAAATAAGTAGGTCAGACCTAAAGACCAAATATTTTTTGGTTCTGTGGATTTGGGACTGACATAAAGCATCATGCTTTGACTTGTGTGCTTCTCCAGACCTTTAGCTTTAGAGGGAAAGATAATCTTTTGGGAAAACACCTTTAGCACTTTCCACTCCTTGGTCTGTTTGGTGATGATCACAGCTTGTCAAGTCCAGCCATATGAATAATTTATCCTTTCCCATTTGAATGGATTTCTAACTAAATTTTATTAAAATTCAGAAGAATTCCAAACTAAAAGGAAAATCAGAACCAGCCCAATCAGTCCAGACACTAATATTTTCTGCAATGAGCATGTGTATATTCACGCATGCACACTACAGAAAGCAAGCAAGCAATGAAACTCCATTAATGTACAGATGGAAGTTTATATTGATTTCAGCAAAGACCAGAACATAATGGTAACATGAATAACAGATAATAGCATCTGGCACTTTTAACATTTTTAAGCCCTGAAATCTTTGGAGAACTGACAGTTGAACTAACTGACAGCTCTAGTTATTTCTCGGCGCTTTCCTTTTGGAGAGATTTTGAGCTTTTTCCAAATTCAGAATTTTTTTTTTTAAGGGGGCATCTGGACAGGCTATTTCACTGAGAGAGAGAGAGACAATATTTTCTGGAAATTACCACCAAAATTAAGCAACTGTTGTGCATATGAACCAGATAACAATGAATTAGAAATAGATATAATCAGTCATTTTCTTTGCATGAGGATAACTGCCAGTCTTCGATTTGCAAAACAGAGCCTCTGGCCCTGAGATCACTGGACATGTCAAGGCTCCCTGGGATCGCAAAAGCTCACAGCAGAGGTCTGGGGCCAGATCCTTAGTTAGGGACAAACTGCACAGTGTCAAAGCACCAAGCATAAGGGGCAAGAGTGCCTGAGCACAGACCTTTATGTCATGTTGGGTAGTCTGATGATGCTTCCAGCTCCCTGCGCTGGTAAGGGAGAGGGAAATAGCCAGCCACCCATCATGGCCTTCTGAAAGTGGAGCAGAGATTGCAGGGGACACGGAGGTGCTCCTGTCATAGCTCTTGCTGAGCTGTGGTGGCAGCAGGGAGGAGGAGCAGCAGGACAGGCCCCCTGCCAAGTCTGCGACACGGATTGATCCCCTGCAGCAAGGCGGGTCTCTCAAAGCTGGATGTGCTTGCTCAATATGCGGCACGAATGGGGAAGAACCTGAGTCCTCAGCCTACTGCCTCATGTCAAAGGCACTCCAAAACCCTGATGAAAGATCATTCTCTCATTACTCAGGCACGGGGCGTCATCAGCCCCTATAGAGGCAACCTCAAAGTGCTCTTCAGGACAACTCAGCCTCCGAGAAATGATCCACTGTGGTGCAAATTGTCTCTGGTCTCATTATGACAGGTCTCAGTGCTGACAGATTTTTTGTCTTCACATTATTGAATTATTTTTCATTTCCAGGTATTTTTGGAACTGGAGGCCTGGATCCCCTAACCTCAGCCCTAAGTAGATTTACACCTACCTATGGGTTCTTGAAATGCCGATTTTGTTATTTGACCAAAAGATTTTGTAATAAATATAACATTCCAATGCTATTACTCAATATATAAGAGCAAATAGGGAGGAGATGTATTTGGAGTTGAATAAAAACTCCAAAATGCGACATCTTTTATTCTGGTTCAGAAAGCTATCACTCAAGCCTGTCTGTGTTAATTACCAAGATTTTATTTAATTAGCCTTTAAATGTGTTCATGGTCCCTTCCTGATTTAAGAAAAATGCAGGCAATCCATATTCTGATGGTCAAGCTCAAGAGAAAAAAAAAGAAACCAAACTTGCCAGCAAAATAGAATTATATGAAAGAAAGACGAAGAAAAGACTATGCTGCCATGTTGCCAAGACAGCATAAATAGACATGAAAGAGTAAAAACAGAAACAAAACCAAAATCAAGACAAATATCAACTTGGAAGTGGCAGTCTAGAAGATTAGCCATAAAAGTTGGAAAATTACTAAATAAAAGTATTTGCTGAAATTTTAGTTGCTTATCTTTGTTCCTGAAATTGCATTTTCAAGTTTGGGATTTTACATTTCCTAGGACAGGTTGAAATGGGAAGACACCTCTATACACTCATCTAGTTTTTCTATGCTCTTTCCTTATGGGAGAAAAAACGTCACAACTGGTGGAAATTATGTACATATCCTCTCATGCCACTTGTAACTAAAACCTTCAGAAATTCCTAACAGTTGTGTATTTCCAAATTAGTGCTCTCAGACTGACTTCTGCACTGCTGGACTCACTCGTGAGATCTAAGACTCACTGGCAGACATTTCTCAAGGTATGGTAAATGTAAAATAAAAAGTTTTCCACTGAAAGAATATTGCAGGCAAGATTCTAAGCACGTGTTTAAATGTTTAGATAATGAGTTATCTGGAATTATATAGAGTTAGTGTGGAAAAATTACTTTTCAGTACGAAAAAAACTACTTTGCTTTGGGGTTGGGGGTGGGGGGGGCAGATGTTACTTTTTTTTTTTTCCTTCCTAAATGATCCTTAGGTCATTTGGGTGTATGTGCTACAGGACTGAGCCATTAGGAAAAAAAAATCAAAAAGCAGTTTCTAATGGTGGATACCTTAGATCTTAGAGTCTTATAGGCATTCACAAGTAGGCTCTGAGAGCAAGATTTTTCAAACTGAGCAGTGATTTTTTTATGCCACATCCAAGAGGGTGTTAAAGCCAGCTCAATGTTCACAAACCTCTACCTGTTGAAACTGATTCCCTTTAAACTGCAGTAGAATGATCATCCCAAAGACCACCAGATGTTCACTCATCCAAAGGAAAAAGTTACTCAGAAAATGAAAAAATACCTCTTTTTCTTCTTCTTTCCTGCCATGGGTCTTGCTGTAGTTGATTGGTGTATCCCAGCCTTCCTGTTCACAAAGAGCCTGGTAGAAGGCTGCATTTACCAGGATGCTGCTTGTTTTGAAAGGAGAAGAGGAAGGAGTGGGAAGTGCTGTGCTGGAAGAAGTGAGAGGCATAACTTTGTCTTGGCTTCGATTCTTTTTCATACTCAAATCCAGAGTGCCATTTTCATCCACTTCTATCTCAGCTCCCTGACATGCAACAAGAAACAAGAGACATGTTTAGACATGGACATGGTGAGGCTGCGACATAACCATGTGGTGCTTTTAAAGGATAAATATAAATGCACGTTTCTATTTAAATTTATCTGAATCTAAAACCAGATTTTCGATTTATATCAGTTAATGTCCAACTCTTAGGCAGACTTAAGAGTAGCTTCAGTAATGGTATCCCTGCATCTCAGCTTAAACATAGTAAGTAGAATTTAAATAAGATGCCTTTAAACCATAACCCATACACCCTAAATCTAGTTTTATTTAAAAAAAAGTTTAGCTTTAAATCTTCTTGATCTTTTCACTCTTACAGAGAACTATGACCCCAATTCACAGTTAAAAGCATTAATGCATTGTTTAGGTCATCTACAGCATTACTATTACATCTCTTCCCTTCCCCCCACACCCCCAACCAATTTTACAACATCTGCATCATGGGGAAGAGAAGGAGGGAGCAAGAAATATGCCCAGAAGTAGCACAGTAGGAGAAATTTTCACTAGGGTTTTGTACATCACTCAAAATAGCATATTGCCTCAATCACAGTTTGGCTAGGCCACTAAGGCACAGGTCTGCACTGAGACCACTAGACTGGGAGCCATAGGAGGATCTTTAGGAAGTTCTCCCTGATGGAGACCTTCAGCACGAGTTAAGAAAGCCTTTGCTACCGGGAAAGTACAGAAAAGAGCAGCCTCTGATTACAGGGGTGTGTGCAGTTTGGGGAGAGACCCAGCTCTGCTTCTCAGGCTGGGAGAAGTTCTCAGAGCAGCTCCTGCTCATAAGAATGGGCAAGTGCTGCTCAGCTGTACAAGAACAAGGGAAGGAAAGCTTGCTGTTCTGCCTTACCCTGTCTGACCACAGAAAATAGAGTACAAACTCCTCTTCTTAGAAGGATGAAAAGCTCTTGAACGTGCAACTTCATAATGGAAGTTACAAAATTTTTTCCCTTACGCTCAGTATGAAACACCGCATGTTGACACATTGTGTATTTAGGGCAGAGTATAAGACTAGTACTTGCTATTGCCAACAATTACTAAAGTCAAGTAGGGGAAGAGGTGAAAGAGATGTCTTCTGGAGGAGCACCTGATAGTTTAGTTTTGTGTGTTGCCCTGACTAAGGTGAAAAATATTCAGACTATAAATAACTACATCATAGATTTTCACACGTAGAATGCTGTAATTAACACTGCTCTGTGTTTTCCTGTTATTGTTATCACTACTATATTTTATTTACATCACCACAAAGTTCAGATACTACTTGGGAATTTGGGGCTAGATTTGTTAGGTGCTGTATAACTGTAGGAGACAGTTGTATAAATCCAGACTGAAAACTCCTACCTTGAGTAATATAAAAGTAAACGTGTACTATAAGTGAATCACCTAGATGCTCTGTTGTAAATGGGTACGTCTAGGGGGCAAGCTTTTCCACCTTTCTTAGACCTCTTCCTTGGGAAGGGATGTGACACTGACAGAAAGAGTCCCTTTCTCTTTCTTCCCATTAACTACTGCTGGAGCTTTTAGTAGGGGCAAGCATTTAATGGTTAAAGATAGGGCAGAGAAACTTATCCTTGCTGGAACATCTTGAAAACAGTTGTGGTGAAACGGAATTCTTTCCCTGTGCTGAAAGTGTGACATGGTCACCCTGGTTTGACTGAAGGCAATAGCTTCCTTCATGCAGCCTTGTCTTCTACCACTGCCAGTGGTGACTCATTTAAAGGTAAAATGTGTCTGATGAAATATTTTTAATCAGAAGGAAAATGTTGGTAGAAGATGAAAATTTAAGGCCCAACAATCTCTCCTCATTCAGACAGCCTAACTCCATTTTGTATCCATAGGCCTAAAACAGATGCCTACCTAGACCGAAGCACTACCAAGCCATCTGCTTGCCCCCAGTTCAGAAACTCAGGCACCTTTTATGTTTGTTTCTCCTGCATACCAAGTTCACATTTTCAATCATACAGCTTAAAGAGAGAGATGTTTTATTATATTTATGGGAAGTAAATACACTTCTAATATTTTCATAGTAAGACGCTTTGGTTATATCTTTCTGCCCCTTTTTAGTAAATAGTTTAATCTCCTGTGATAGTTTTAAGCCCTGAATTTGACAGTGCAGCTTATCCTGGATAATAACTTAGTAACCACAACATCTTATGCCATCTGTATAATATCAAATACATTTTTATACTAGCATTAATAAACCTTAGTTACAAAAATCCAAGATATTAACTATATCAGTGCCAAGCACACACTCCAGGATCTGATTATAGCTCTGCCATGATCGCCCCAGTGTTTCTTGGCTTCATAGTTGATATGTAACTATAGCAATGAAACAGAGCTACAGTAATCAAGTTTAATGACCAATGTAAAGTAAAATGCTAAATATTGTAGTTGCTGACATTTTTCATAATAAAAAAACTTGGGTTAAGTCTGCACAACCAACATTCACATAAAATTCCAGACCTCTGTGACAGATGGCTTAGGAAAGGAAGCCATGTGACGGGGCTGCAGTAGTTTTATAGTGCAAAACCCATAAATAGTGCAGATTCTCTGTCACTGACAAAATATCAACTACTCAGAAGGCAACAGCGACAACAAAAAGGACCAAAATCAATCAAGCTCCCCGCCTAGATGAAACTGTACATAGAAAAATATCAGGAAACATACTGTCTCTGAGAAACAGATACCATTAGCCACAACAGGGAGCTCTCGATGATAAGCAGAACATTTAATAACATGGATATTTAAAGCTTCCTCAGCACTTTCCTGAAATTCATGTAGAAGTTAGGTTGTCCAACATGCACCTAATTCTGCTGCGGGAAGGCTGGGTTGTGTGTTTGTGAAGTAGCGTACAGATGGGGTTTAAGTGAGCTCACAGATGCACACAACAATTAAATATAGTCATGGAAAAAATATCCCTTTTTGCCCATCACAGGATGGATCACACGTTTACAGCATGGCTTTTTATTCAGAATGGTATAAAAGAGCTATCACTTTGCTGCCTTCGTAGCAAACTCCAAATGGCAGAGCAAAAAGAGAGGATAGTTGGAGATACTGCTCCAGTTTTCATTCCTACTCTCATCCCACCCTCCTCTCAATATGTCTCCTTTGCTTGTTTTACCACATTTATTTTTACATTAATTTTAAAATGGAACTAAAAAGACAAAAATGGCAAATGGCAAAAAAAAAAAAAAAAAGCTAGAGCAGTGCTATGACATGCTGACAGAAAATGGCACTTACTATGCTTAGCTCAGACTTGTAAAGACTGTGTTCTCCTCAGTGAAGGCAAGATCTTATTACTGTCAACTCTAGTGCATGTGTGAGCAGGCCTATATTTATCCATTTATCATGACAAATTCAAAATATAGCTACCAAAACAATGTAAACTCATTTGATTCTTCCTTGAAAACATAAGCAAAATAAAGATAAAAATGTATCTTATTATTTCCGAACTTATATTATTATGCATCTGTGTAAATCTTTGGAGCCTGACTTTGATCTTGTTAACATTTACATTTACACTGGTGTAAACCAGGAAAAAATCCACTGAAACGATGGAGAAAAATCAATGAGGGTGAGAGGATACGCATGGTGATTAAATTCAGGTTACTCCTTATCTACTCCCACATCAGTGACAAGTGTAATCACCCCTACAGGTTTTATAAGCAGCTGGAAAAAGGATTCCAGAATAAAAAATTAGATAGAAATGACTGAAGCATATTTTCTTCATTCCAGGATCTATTCAGTGAAAAGATAAGGTACAAGTAGTGCTCTACTATGAATATCTACCTAAAATGAATACTAATATAAATATGTAAACAAAAATACGGTCTATATCCTCTTCAAGTGCTTTCTACTTGAAAGTCAAGCTTTTCAGCCTTCTTTATTTTATTACATAAATATTACTGAATATTTTCTAGTACATCATTAAGTCTTGTCCTTAGAACTGAACTGCATCAGCTAGGACAATAAAGGATGTTGTTTTTCGTGATAAATTACCCCTGCATTTTTTCATATGCTTTCGGTCCATCTGATCACTCACAACATTTAATACTCTGCAGTGTGTCTCCAGTAACGATTACAAGTTAAGCTTTATCTCATAGCTGGATCAGAAAGAGTGAATTATTGTGTCTGCAGGAACCTTATTTCAAACCTGTGACCTTAGGGAGATTATATCATTACATATAAGGGGGTTTATGTATTTGGTTGGCATCAGCCATACAACTTAATACCAAGTAAGTCCAAAGAAGCATCATTATCAATGATTTTGCATTCCGACTAGCAGTTCGGTCTAGTTTGGAAAGCTCAAAAGAGCAGTTCAGTTCAGGTATTGGAAGTAACTCTGCAACTAGTATCTTGCCATGTATATGAATATGATTCTTAATACAACTCCATCCAAAAAGAGTACAATCTTTTCTCTTCCCATCGAATAAAAATACATACACCTGGTCCTCAGTTCTTCAGACTTAAATTTAAGCAACTGAGTTCTTCTGCAGCAAATTATAATACTAATTTGGGTCAAAGTAAGAAAATTTGTAACTTCCCAGCTACATCAGAGACAAAAACAGAGTCACAATTTCAGCCCAGAGCAATTCACAAATTAAAAAAAAGCTAGCCAAGAATGTACTCAAGAAGCAATATGCACAGCAGTATAACAGGATGGTACCTAGTGATATTGTTGGCTGATTTTTCATCCTGTATTTAGCCTTTAAGGTATTTGGAGTAAAGTACTGCCTGACAAACGTGCTGAGTACTAACTACATTGTTGAAATAATTGATGTAATTATCACCATCATCAATATCCAAGAATGGAGAGATGACATAATTTTGTTCAAAAACAGAATTTGAACTTTAAACATTTTTAGCAAGTGTCATTTTTTGTTTTCTTTCAAGGCATAGTGCACATATGCCATTTTGTCTAAACAGGTGGGAAAAACACCAAAACAGTCAACAAAATGTTTGGCAAGCAGTAGTGATGAGGATACAGATAAACTGTATTGCTTGCAGCTACCTCTGTGAGACGTGAATGTGGTGAGGGCTGTAAACAGGGAAGATCCCTAGATGTTACGATGATGTAGATTCTTGCACTGTGCTAGAAACTGAAGCCTAATCCTTCTAGGGGAGTCCTGTTAACTTCAGTGGGAGCTGAATGAAGCTACATAAACCGCAAATCAGATGCAACCAGGAGACTGGTTTGGGGTACTGACTGCATGAGGATTGCCTGATCAGGATTGCATTCAGGGGAACAGTTTACTACAGCCCCAGGTGGAGGTGGAATGGCTCAGAAAATGTAACATTAATGTGGGATTGATTATTTTTGAAAGCAGTATCATCAAGGTATCTGATGGTCTTAGTATTTTGCATGCAGCTGATAGATAATTTACAGAGAAAGCTTAGGATCCATTTTACAGCTCACTTTAGACTAAATTTATTCTTTAAATTGACAAATGTAAATTCATCATTTTAATCTTGAGATATGTGGCAGATCACCTCTGTACATTAGATGACTTTGGAAGTTTTGCTTACCAATGGCACTGTTAACGTGAAATCTGATTTTTCTAGCCTTGCTACCTTTCTCCCTTTCTTTTGGCTTAGACTCTCCCTTTTGAACTCATATGTAGAGAATGTGAGATCTATATTTGAAAATCCATTAAATTAATGAAATTTGGAACTGTGCTGTAAAAAAAATTACTTTTTTAAATTGTTATCTATATTTACAGAAAACTGGTGAAGACATCCAACTCTTACTAAAAAAAAGGACAACACTCTGGGGGTCCAGAAATAAAATTTAAGAGACAGAAAGCAAAAAAAAATACTTTGGGTATACATTTGTGATAAAAAAATATTTTGGTGTTTTCCCCACGTATTTAAGCAAGGTGACATATGCATGCATTGAGTAAATAGAAGAAAATGACAGTTGCTTGAAATGTTTGAAGTTCAAGTTCTGCTTTTAAAACTTAGAAGCACATATTTTTATAGCTCTGACAATTGTGTACCTTGCAAAGGATTTTCTGCAAGTCCGGGAAAACCTCTGCAGTCCCATATGTCTTTGCCCTACCACCACACTGCCTCCCACCTGCAAAGTGTCATGACTTGAATTGCTGGGATGATGCCTGATGCGCATATAAGGGCAAACGCCTTTACAAGTCCGAAGCTTTAATCGGCTAAAGTATGGACGATGCTAATCAGGTTTTCTAAGGCAAAGGAACAAAGGAATGTGACAAGGGACAGGGCTGAGAGCTCTGATATTATGGGGCTCTGAACACAGGCACCCCACACATGTGTTTTCAGACCTGATGAATGTGTGTGTTATCAAGAGTAGAAAAAGGAAATCACTAACTCTGTAGTTGTCTGTTGATGCTGCATTGTTTGAGTCCAAACACTGAAAAAGACTCAAGAGATGTTTTTTATAATCTAAGAATTTATAAGATGTTCTAGCAGCTAAACATTTACCTTTGCAGCCAATAGCAACCACAAAGCAATTCAGAAACACAGATAAATATAGTAGTCTCTTTAAAAATAACCGTAGTTCTTGCTCATATTTTAAAATAAGAAAGCATCTTAATTTAATGGAGTCTGGTGATTTATTTCCACATTTTTTTTGTTTGAATCCTGTTTGATAAAAGTAAGAAATAGCCAAAACCAAATGAAAGTGTGTTTACTGTGGTTTTGGCCACCAAATCTTTTTGGGGCTTACTTGCCTGTGTTCTGGCCAGAAGCTAATTCTGATTCTTCTGTCAGATGTTTTGTAGCAGTATGCCCTCCAGGAAGTCTGGCAAAAGTGGAGGCAGGCAGATAGCAAGGTATGCAGGTGATTTTCTTTTAGGCTGGATTCCTGGCTGTGGAAAAGGAGTAAGCTATGTGCCCCAAGTGTCCCTCCATATCGTTACTATTATGTTCTCCTCCATTCAAACCTTCCCCATGATTTGGCAACTGTGAAGCAGGTATGGAGGAGAAAATCTTTGGGTTATGCCTGGTCCCTTTATTGCTCTTCTCTGGCAAGAAGGTCTATTGCTGAGGTCAGCCAAAGGCTGTGGCAGCAATTTAATCCAGCCATTGGCATCGGTTTCCATTTCCCTACTAGAAGAAGTCTCTATAGAAGACTGTTAGAAGGAGCTTTCTGCAGCAGATATCAGGGATGGATCTGTCATCTGGGAAGGGTTCTTTGAGCAATCTTTGGGGCAAATAATGTCTGAGTTACAGGGGATGCATGTGGATAGACTCTAAAAAGTCTGGCGCATGGTATCTCCCAACATTGGTGCCAAGATGGAAGACTTCAGGTGTAAAAATCAAAGGCAGCAAAGTAGGGGATACCACTCTGCAAAGACACAAGGCTTGGAATACCTAATCAGGTGTTGTCCTGGTGGTAAAATCAATGGTTCCACTCAAAGAATAACACATCGCTAACCTCTTAGTGATGGTGAATGAAGGCCCAGTGAAAATGTAGACCAACAGCTGTGGAAGCCACCTCTAGCCAGACTGAGCTTGATGCTAAAACAGACAAGGTAGAGCAACACCGACTTGCAGAGAAATAGGTCATCTGGCTTTTGGAGCACACATCATGACTCAGAGTCCCACAGCAGAAACACACCTGCTACTCTCTGTTTTGCTAAGTACCTCTTCTCACTCCCCAGTGATGTCTTCTCAGGTTCTTGTAATGGCACCCTCTCATCTACACAGACCTTTCAAAAGTTTCATTGCAGTAGAACATGTGTGACTTTAATACAAATAATAAATGACAATGTTCCCACAACCATGGTCATCAGAAGAAAATCTTGTCTATTTTAATCAGCAGTATAATACTATGTAATGACACAGAAAATAAGGCTTACAGCTCACATAGTACCATTTTTAAATCATAAAGATCTGTGAGAAAACGCAGAGCAGAAACCAAAACATGAAAGCCACACAAACATCTACGCTATTAGGCAGCTTTCCATTATGACAGACTTGCCCAAATTATCTATCTCCAAACGCTGTGGGCCTGATTCTCCCCCCTTGCCAGCCGAAAGGAGATTTTTACCAGACTCAATTGTTATCTCTGTCCCCTTTCAAATTCATGAGCTCCAAACACAAGAGGCTCAATAGGTGTAGTTCTGTTCCATTGCTAGCAAAGTATCACCTTGATTAATCACTTTTTTTTTTTTTTTTTTTTTTTAAAGAGCCTCCAAAATGCTCACTTATGGCAGGTTTCAGAGGGAGGAGAATTTCCTCTTTAAACAGATCTAACTCATTATCCACTACAGATTGTTGCTGGATTTCAAATAACCTTATTTTCTCCTTCCACAAAACTCCCCCTTTGTATTTAGGGCTCAATTATGAAAAGAGTAACAACATAATTCCTGCTATTTCTATGACCAGAACTGGTCACTACATTACTGATTTTTTCTCTGTCTCTCTTCAAAAGAGCATGCAAACAGAAGCCTCCTTTTTGGGGATTTAATACAGTCACTAACATGAAAGACAGTTTATTCGCACAGTTCAGTAGCTAGCACACCCTCCAGGTTCTTGGACTACCCTACCTTGGCAGACAGACTCTGTGGTTTGTTGGAGAGGATCTCTGCTGCTTCCCTGCAGCGGGTGGAAAGGTTCAGGATAGCAGCAGCTGCTGCTATGTGGGTGTCTTCACTACATTGACCGTAGCTATAAGAGTTGGCATGGCAAGGGCTCTGTGTGTGGGCGCTAGCACTAGGCAGTCGATTAGAAAATTTCACTGGATTTGAAAAATGCTTTGCTGTTGAAGAGAGATTTGATTAGCAATTGCATGTACGAGATTTTTCCCATTAAATAGTTTTGTTTCTCACACTACAATTCCATACATTAAAATATTCAAAGAATACATTTAAAACAATTAATTTCCTATTGGCAATAAGGGTTTGCTGTTAAAATGGCTTCAGAAACACGGTAATGTAATTTTTACCTGACAAATACACATCTTTCAACAAAGCATCTGAGACTTTACTCATATTTTACTCATTGTTTACTCAAGCATTAAAAGCAATGATGTCCAAGGAAAGACTGAACAAGCATTAGCGTGTTATTCATTGTGACATGACAACATTGGTGGGCAAAAGTAATTACAAATGTATCCTTATAAAGGCTTACTCTTGAAGCTCTATTGTGTAAAAAAATCAACAGTGACTTGTCCAGTCTTAGCTAAAACAACACTGCTTACGCTACTTAAATGAATGTCTGTTATTTAAATAGCTTTGCTTATGTGAGTAGGGAGAACAAGACCAGGCTCTTGAATGAACCAGAGCAATCAGATAAGAACATTAGAATATTGAGTCCTAATTTTGTGGAAATTTTTTTTAGAAATTTAAGTCTACCCTTTAATCAATTTAAAAAAAAAATAATTACAGTAATGAATATTCAGAATAAAACTGATCTTGGCTCCCTGTCTTATGTTGGCTATCATTTGGAATAATACGCATTTATTAGGCACAAAGAGGTCAGTTGAGAATTAAAATCTAACAGGTGAACAGAAAAGCACTTTCACAGACAAAAGTTTTACAAGTGGTTCCTTTTTTTTTTCTGCTCCATCAGCAGCACTTACTCTAAAACAGGTAGAAAGAACTCTGCTCTCTGTTCTGGATTTTGGAGCTTGACATGTCATTAACTGTTGCAGAGAAAACACATTACCATGATTTTAGCTCTTAGGAAGCAATAATCACTTCTTTTGTCTGTAACTCTCACAGTGTCCTACAAAGATAAACTAAGCAAAATCCAATTTCTCAGCCTACACCCAGATACACCAAGAACATTTCTGCGTGTGGCCATCTGTTCACTCCATGAAGATCTGAGCCCCAAGGCTCTGGATCCCTTTGGATGTACGGCTTTGGCTGAGTGCATTTTAATGCTAAGACCTACACAAGGCATTGAAGAACTCATCTTTCCTCAAACTTGGGATGCTCTAAGAGAAATGCTTGTTTGTGTGCACTGACTGTAGCTGAATGCCGTGTTCAGTTTTTCTGAGTATTGGAGCCATCTCAGTAGTGCGGTACATAAAATCTCATGATTCAGTTCTCCCTTTCTCCAGTGCAAATGAAAAAGGATTTAACTACCTTGCTGTAACACTGTAGCACAAGCAAAAGGGTCTACCTTTTTAGCAGTTACTACAGCTAACTTCAAATTATATTTAAAAAGAAAAAAAGTGCATTTTCCATTACTGACCCTAAAAGACTAAAAAAAACCCCACAACAAAAAACCAAACAGAAAACAGGCTGTGAAGGGTGCATGTTTTGTTAGCAAATAAAGTTTTAAAGTGCAGAATCCACAGAGGGTTAATGATGGTCTTTTGGTTAGCTACAGATTTACATAGGATGCTGAACCAATCGCTGCATCATCAGCTTCTTATTGCCAACTTCTGTATATCTGCATAGTTAAAGCACTCACCTGCTCTTTTACTTTCACCTTTCCATTAAAATAATAGCTGCATACTGCAGTCTTTGCAAGAACAACCGGCTGTAAACTTCAGCCCTGATATATATTATACATAAATTGCATATGTATGTATTTGCATTTGTATAAAAACATTTCAATCATATTTTCCTTGAAATGAACCTGTGAAATAGACATACATCTGTGCAAAGAGACAGCTAATAGGGAATATTCAATTTTACAAACAAAATTGGAAAATCTGCCACCCAAGAAGCTGGCAATGTACATATTTGCTTTCATTTGAACAAGCCTATTTTCCAGGCCAGATAAATATCTACTTTGCATTTGCAATTTTAAATAGGGTATTTATATATTTATATATATATATATATATGTGTGTGTGTATACACAAAGACATAGATACCTGCAAACATATATATATATGTGTGTGTGTGTACTCACATACACAAATAAAAATATAAACATGCACATTTTATAAATATATAAACTGCATATAATATTATATAGTATTAGTATTATATATTCTATTCTATTAAATTATATTATATCATATTATATTATATATTTATATATACATAGATAAAATTTTCTGCTTTTCTGTTCACCTTGCTGTGAATGTTCTTCTCTGTTGGGATAAGTGGGATGCAATTTGTTTTCCTTTACTTAATTTTTTTTCATGAACAAAAAAAACCCCAAAACTAAAGAGTCTTTTGTCACATTGTTCTGGATCTATTTTCTTCTGAAAGCAAATATGGTGTAACGAAACCCTTTTCTTTCAGTTTCCCTCATGGCAACAGACTAGTTTCTTTCTTTGAAATAAAGAGTATTTTATAATGGTCAATACAATGCAGAATCTTACTGAAGTTTCCCCATGCAGATTGTGAAGAGTATCTGCAATAACTAGTGTGCACACTGTGGTATCTCATTTATACAGAGCAGTACCTCAGCAAATCAGTAAGTGATGCAAGCAGGGGAATTTTGATAACAATTTGATGCATTAGATACATCTGCGCTACAAATATGATGTAGTAGAGAAATATATCAAACCAAATTCAATCCAGGCCTGGGAGTAATGCAACTGAGGCACATGGTTGTCTAGGAGGAATAATACCTGAATGGATGCATCTAAAGGATATCTGGAATGCCTTTAAAACCTAACTTGAATTTCTCTGTACTACAATTCATTACGTCTTGTGCAGACACATTCCATGGGACTTCTTATGTCAGCATCCTATCACATAAATATATCACAGTTTAAACAAGGAAGAAGGTAATAAATAAGACATAAACCATTCCTTTTTACTTCTCTTTTCCCCCAACAGTTGCTTTCAAAAGAACTATCAAAAAACCTTACAGTGATATTTATTATTCTAACATTCCATATTTAGCAAACTAGTGGTTATATTTAGCATTCTGGCCACAAGTGTTTAAAGATGCTGTCTACAGGAATTTTTTTGAATTCTAGAGGTTTGAAAGCAGAGCAGTCATTGACATTTTGTCTATTTTCCAAGAGATAATGGAATTTCAAGCTTACATTCAAGGAACTGGGGTGTTTTTCGTCCTTGTGCCACAGGTGCTGTTGTGCGTTTGCCAAAGACTTGTGCATCAAAGCTGGCATAATCAAATGGTACTTTCCCAAACTTCTCCTGTTCTTTTGCCAGGGTGGCTCTGGAGGAGGTGACTGGCTGTGAAGTTCTGTAATTGTACTGAGACACCTCAGGATGCTTCACTAAGTTTGTCCTGCAGAGAGGAGGAAAAGAATGGATGAGAAAGACAAGAATATCTTTAAAGAATCTTTTAAAGAAAATAATATATTTTCTTGAAAAACTAAGATACAGGTGCATCTCAACATCAGAAAGTGTGTTGTTATCACATATAAAACTTACTAGTAGGTGTATACAAGATATTCAAGGAATAAATAACATAAATATGGTGGCTGACCTAGTAGCCAAAGAGTACTTCGACTTCATAAAAGTTCAAAGCTGAGGACATAAAAAAAAATAGTATTCTCTAGTAATGGTATGGGTTATTTTCAAGAAAGATACTGATTTATTTCTAGATTACCACTGTGGAATGGTGCGTCCATTATTTCTAAAAATCAACTGGATTTTTGCTACTCAAAGGACTTGTAGTTTTATGGATCACTATTGTTCTCACTTTACTGTGAATGAGTATGGTATAAATATAATATAAGATGATCCAAAATAATTGCTTCTGTTATTTGGAAGGAATGAATGATTTATGGTGTGTTATTCCATTTAGTTACTGTTCAGTAACTACTTGTCTTTAGTAATTTCCTAAGGACTTTTCATATGTAGAGTTAAGGCACGTGCAGTTGGCAGACACATGGACATAATATTCTGTAATGGCTCTGAAGGAACCATTAGAGCTGATCATGTCAATAATCCACAAATTAAAGTGTCCCCAAATAGACCTGAATATAATAGGTTGTAATGGTCATGGTGCCAATGATGTGCAAATTATGCATGTCTGTAGGGTCCATATAACTCTCAAACAAAATACAATTACAATAAAAAATGTTTCCCCTTTTTGATGCCATTGTATAAAAAAAAAAAATTAAACTAATTAAACCAATAAACTTAAAATAAAGAAATTCAAAATATGAATTAATCAGTGGTGAGTAAACAGAATGAGCAGAGTTCTCAACCCTTTCAGGTAACTTGTTACTTACTGGATTAGAGGAAGATTCCTCTGAAAAGAATCACAAAATAAATGAGGTCTGAGCTGCTGAAAGTGCAGTAAGGTCAAAGAGATCCTTAACCAACTTTTAGTGGTCAAAATATTGTAGCAACGGAACAGTTGAAAATTGTTTAGAACACTTCATCAAGATAGGAGATTTGTCTTCCAGGAGAAAGACATTTGAGAACAGTCAATTAGGCTATTTGTGTTGATGTAAGAGTTAGTAGAATATATTTGAGTGCTTTTCAAAAGATATGTCTGTTGTATTTAATGTCAGCCACATGCACAAGAATGAGCAGAAAGACGCTTGCTAATTTTAAGATACAGTCAAGCTATTTAGCTTTTGCCAAGGTTCATCTTGAAAAACTGAGTAACCCCTGTAGCTGAAATTTGAGATGGGGGAAAGACCTGAGAACAGATCAACAAGGTTTGTGCAGAAATACCGTGGAGAGACTAGTTTGTGAGGGCTCCCACCTGTGAGTCTGATCGTGGCACTGCGCAGCTTTTGGAGACTCGATCTGGTTCTTTTCCTGGGACATTGCCAGCTTCTCAGCTGCAGCAATCGGACAACCAGAAAGGCTGTTTAAAAGCAAGGTGAATAAAAGAAACAAGAAGAAAAAACAAACAAACAAACAAACAAAACACATTAAAATGAAATATTAAGTAAAGGAAATGTGTGCTGTGGAACCCAATGACTTCAAACTTCTCTGGTGCCCTGTGCATCTATGGGAGCTGCTGGTATTATAGCCCAAATTCACTCAATCCTTAATGCAAAATGGTTAAATCTGTGTATTTGAGGTGATATATCTGGAAACTGAATCATGAAGGAGTTTTCCACAGTTCACCTTTGATATTTTGTGGCTGGCAAATCAATAGCATATTTTTTGACAAATGACATTTACTTTATCAGCTAAACCATGCAGATAAGCTTCCTGCTGATTAAAAAGAAAGTGAATTTGGGAAAAAAACGGGGGTATGTCAATGACTGTTACCAATGAACATATTTTGTCATTTCTAGTTGTGCTTTCTTTTTTTTTTTTTTTTTTTTTTTTTTCTTTTTCTTTCTATTTGCTTTATTAGATCAGAACATGTTTTCTTATCCTATTCATGGGTTGCTTATGATACAGCTGAAATGTTGCAAAGATGACTGGGGATTTAAAACAGGAAACATAATGAAAAAATATTTACTGGCTCCTTATACATTCTTGTAGATGAGTTTGTAATCTCACTGATAAAGACTAAATTTTGCATTACAGATTGTAACATAGTAAGATAATCTTTGATTTTGTTGCACTTATCCAATAACCAATCAATCAATCAGCAGCAAAAAAAAGAAAATCCAACAAAAGTTCAGGTCAACAAAGAAAGTTGGTTTTGAAATTTTTATGTCCAAAGTTTGATTGTAAGGTTGACGTTACACGTTTCCAGGAGCACTATAATGGAATATTTTGGCTTGCTGACTTCGAGCAGAAAGCAGCCCTGACAAGAGTCGTGCTGACAGCAGTGGCTCACTGGAGACGCTGGAGACGTAGCGTCGGCTCTCTGCCTCACCTGCAGCCCAGCTGTGGTTCCCCAGCTGCCTGTCTGGAAAGCTTTGCTCAATTTTACTTTCTCCCTGCAGGCAGCAAGTAAAACAGACAGGAGTGTTCCAAGCAGGAAGATGACATTCATGGAGGGTAATAAATGGAGTTGGTTTTTACACGAATTCTCAAATATTCCACTTAAAATTTTCTGTTTTGCTAAAAGAGAATGTTCCTTGATGCAAAGTTCCTGCCAAAGACTACCATGTATGTGGTGCAAAGTGAAGAGATTTTGGTTTCCACTGTAGTGGAAGCAGTTGTAGCAATAGTGTATTTGTTCATTTCTACCCCTTTTACATGATGATGTTTCACTGGGAAGACTGTAGTGAAATTGTAGTTTGAAATCTCATTTGTGAAAAATACGAGTGGAATTTGCCATCCTCAGGGCTGCAGCCATTTTTTATATAATAAAATTAAACACAATTATTTGGTTGTAAATAATCAGGCTACCCTTGCAGTTCACAGGCATTCTGCAGTGTAGTACCTAACATCTAATTCCAAGACGTGTCCATCAGTTTACTCCCGAGTACATGTTAGATTTTAAGTGGACAGGAACATTGCTGATCTACCTTCTGTGTGTGTTGCGATTGCTGTTGACATGTAAAAAAAAAAAAAAAAAAAAAAAAAAAAAAAGGTAATAATAATATGCATCAATTTGAAAATTCATATATTAAGGAATACGAACATTTCTTCTTTAGACTCAGATTCTCAATTCTGTGACATTTTGACCACAAAAGAAAAGGAGAAGCAAAGGACCTACAACACAGGAAGGCTGGTGCCTCCAAAATATACCAGTTTATCCCTATATTGCTGTAGTGAGGCTTCCCACATGCACATCATTGCTTCTAGGGACTCTAAAAGAACAAAGGTGGAAGTTAGCAAGGATGTTGTCATGAAACCCTTTGCTCTCTGTTTCATACAACATTACCACAGATTAGAAAAGGGGGCTGATAGAGGAGCTCTGGGCCACAGAGATGTGCTACATATAGCTGCAGTCCCCCTCTGTCTGAGAGAGGGCAAGCTTTCAGGTACAGGAAGGATTTTTGTCTTACACCTGAGTAAGATGATCTGATCTGAGTATGTCCCCTTCAAACCCTGATAACTTCTGATCATCTGAGCTGTGCTCTAACTACCTTAGACCAATCAGTCATGCTCCCAAGCAGCAGCTTACACTCTTAGCAGTGGTTACAAACTTATGCATTTACATTTCTTATGACCTTTGAAGTAGATCATCTTTACTAAGACTGAGTTGTATGTCTATGTTAAATAGAATATGTCTTTGTACATCTGCCCTCATGGTTTCAGTATTGCATTACCCCTTTGGATGCACAGTGCTTCAAAAAAGCTGACTGTTCAGTCAACTGGTTTGTTCTGTTAGGAATCGAATTATTTATTTACTTTCTTTGCCAGCAGGACAGAACGCATCTGACTGGAAGTGAGATAATTAACAAGGACTTGTTAATTTTAACTTTTAGAAAGTTAATGGTGCTAAGGCCTTCCAAATGCAGCAGCCTGCTTAACTCAGCAGATGTTTCCATAAATACAGTTTAGTACCGGATTTAAAAAAGAGAGAGGTATAGTTAGGAACAGGAGGCTGGTCAAGTGCAAGTATCCTTTTTAATTTGTTGTTATGCATGCCACCACAAAAAACAATCTGACTAACCCGGTTATTTAAACGAATAGTTTCACATTAGGTTTTGGCTTATTATGCAGCATTTCATTGCATCACATTGCAGGATTACACACGCACACAAACCAATGTAATCAGTTCAGCACAGTTAGAAATAAGCAGGGAAATTCAGGCTAGACTGGGCATAAAAGGGTTAGCACGATACAGTCATACAAGCGGGACGTGCTGTGGACCAACGCTGGGATGTACTGATGGAAGTAACCTTTTTGAGCTCGGTGGTAAGGGGAACACTGGAAACATCTCTGAATAAGCATGCCCAGGCCTCTCAGTTATTGGCAGTGAAAACCAGCAGCCTTGGTGTGTGATTACAGCAAATCAGGTTGCAGCTCTGACACAAGTATGTGATTCCGGTGCTGCATGCCTTAGCGAAGGCATGGGCAAGCAAGATCTTGAAGATTCATGAGACTACAGTGTGCAGGTCTGCTGGCAGTGTGGGGGTAGTTTGGCTCTGAACTTACTCTTCCCAGGCCACCTGAGGAGCCTACTGCTGTTTGTAATGCTACTTGAGCTCCCTAAGTGTGGAAAGTAGGACTGAAACTAAGAGCTGGAGGGCAAAGAAGGTGTGATGGCTCCTCTCAGCCTCATTCTGCAATCTCACCCGGAAAAAGTGGGTTTCTTCTCCAGCATGAGCACACGCTACCCACAATACTGGGCCAGATCCAGTTGTTATTCTGGACTGCAGGGTGACGATACTCACTTTCTAGTGGCACTCTAACTTTATGTGGACAGCCTGAGAGACTGCGGTGGTGAGGGTACAGCCCAGTCACGTGCCCTGTGCCATCACATCCTGGGATGGGACATTTGGTTTCTCTCTTTTCAGGCCTGGGTGAATCTGCAGAGAAATCAGATAAGGGTGGTTTTTTTTTGGTTTTAGCCCCTGCCTGCACTCAGCTGAGTGATCCTAGTAGCGTGATAGTCTCTATTTTGTACTTCAGATGTAATTCCTACACAAAGTTTTAACAGAGCCGTATGTAATTTAAACATCACTTTAGGTTTTCACAGTGTCCTTTAAACAATGGCTCCCCCCTCCCAATATGCCAATTATGTGCTAAACTATATAGCTTTAGTATTGCAGTGTCATTTATTCCATTCAGAGCCTCAAACAGGACAGAAGCCACAGTCCAATAAGCCAGAAAACTGGCAGCATCAGCCAACAGCAAGATCTATAAAGGAGTAAATAAAAAAGCAGAAACAATCTTTTACTCCGTTAATGTCAGACTCCAGGAAGCTGGGACAACCAAATAAAAGCTGAGGTGTGAAAAAAACCAACAAACAAACAAAAAGCATTTCAACCAGAAGCCATTCCTTAAATATCGCAGATCTCTAGGCTGTAGGTTCTTTGTTAGGAAACTGAATACATGCCACTTTACATTTGAGAGGCAAGGCAAGCAGCTCCCTCTGGTACACATGGCAATGCGGCTTTGTGGAGCAGCCCACAATGACAGTGAAAACATGGAGCAGCCGATACCCTTTCAAAGGCGAGGTCTCAGCCCAGCCCCACAGCTACCACTCTGTAATGGCCGCAGTGCATTCCCATTTTTGTTTCAAGCACCTAGAATTGTGCAAGAAGCACTGGTCAGAAAGCTTTTATTTGATTTCCAATGCAGGATCAAAAGTCTGGGCGAAAAAGGAATGAATTCTGGTCCAGAAATTCTCTTGTGAGAAATCTGGAGGAAGTGGCCGCATAAATTGCTGAGGATGGTTTTAGCTCCATCTGTGATTGGCTGCCAACAACATTCGGCGCTGGGGGAGAAAACAGCTGCAGCCAGCACAGGGAGCAGCCTCCTTCAAGCTCATTTTGTTGGACTGCGAGGTAGGATGTGCTTAGGGACAGGATCGCCAGAGACAGCTGAGGGTTAAACTTTCTGGCAAGTTTTTAGGTTAAAATTAAGGAAAAAAAAAAAAAAGAAGAAGAAGAAAAGGGGTGGAAAGAAAATACACTGAGCACCAACAGAAGAGCACATGCTTTTTAGAATCACTGCAAATGGAAAGTGCTGCAATAGTGGACAAAAAAATAAAGAGGGACCCTGAAATATGATTTCATTTCCCCCCACTAATTAGAAAGGTTTATAATTAAAATGATGGAAAAATACATATTTAAGCCATGGTTTTCTGATATAACATCCAAGAAAGAAAATTAAGAGCTGATGGATTTGATGATGGATTTTTTAGAAATAAAACCCAGTTAATTATGTAAAGTGAAAAAATTATGATGTGTCTTACTACATTGACTAAAATCATATGATGTTTATGCAACCTGAACAAAGCCTAGTTTGTTCCTCCATGAGTGTTGCCTCTGAACTCACTTGCAAACTACAGATAATAATACTATGAGGTAAATCAGGAAGGGCCAGGTTTTGCCATGCTTACCATCACTGCTCCTTCCTATGTGTGCTGTGTAAAGTCACATTGACACCAGCGTGAACCTGGTGAACACAGCTGGTCTCAGGATAAGAAAAGGTTTCTGTAAAATTCCTGCATATACCATAGTCATCTGAGCAAAGAAACGTTCACATAGTTTAGCAAAGAGGTAGGCTAATACTGTGCCTGCACAATTTAAGACATGCTAATGAGAAGACTGAGAAAGAAAAATGAGATGCATGCATATTCTTCCCAAAGACTACAGGAAATATTTTATAGCTGCAACTCCTCAAATAACTTGTTAGATATCTTATACACTAAGTGCTTTTGATAACTACCGTAATATTTGCAATGTCCACAGGGGCTACACTGAAGTAACACGAGAGTTACCAAAGTAAATTTATCAAAATTATCAAATTTTGTTTATCAAAAGCAGAAATTGCAGCAATGCTGGGGTGACTTCAGTATATTTGGAAGCCCAAAAGGAAAAGTCAAAGGACAGAAGAATGTATTGTTACTTACTACTGCAGGGAGTGTGTTTATAAAATGACATCTCTTGACATTCTGTAATTATTCTCAATTAAGGAGTTTCGTACAAGACAGCCCAGTTTACCAATCAAACCCAAATCTTTTAAATATCCACTTCTGGAAGGCTGATTAGATAGCGAAAATGGAGCAATGTTCCTACAGCTTTGTAGGATGTCACAAACCATCAGAAACAATAAAGATTTTGGAACTTACTGGTAATTCTGCTGATGGTGAATGAGGCAGAAGAGCATGGCTTGTGCTTTCCTGGCTCAGAAGTGCTGGCTGTAGCAAAATGTAATGTTGATACATGAAGTAGACTGAACTCAGAAAACACATGGCTTAGGAATTAGGTGGTATGTTTGGAAGAGGCCAATTTTTCACCTTAACCTTTCCTTAAGCACAGTTTTAATGCCTTCTCTTTTGGCTGCTGAAATTTAGGAGGTATATATTAGCACCCTATGGAGGAGGAGGCAGAGGAGGAGGAAAAGGAGGAGAAGGAGTGTCAGTGCCAACTACACAGCCCTTTTAGTACCCATTACCGATCATTTCACATAGCGGCTTGGCAGGAAGCCAAGTACCTAGCGTTTAACCTGGTTAGATGTAAGGCACTAGTGTGAAGGTACATAATTAACAAAATTACCAGCTAAATTCCAGATTCTTTACTGTTGCTATAAAACCCAGCTCAGAATCCTCTATCAGTCACAGGATAAATGCTTAAGCCAGTAAGAACAGCCAAAAATACTTCCTTACGTTTGTTGCTAAATATCTGTCTCCCACCAATGTCAATAACTTTGGTTTGTCTCCTTTCCCCTGCTAGATGCTCCAGAAGAAACCTATCCAGTTCCTTGTAGGTGCTGTGAAACACATGCCCTTGCTCTGCCTGCAGAGCGATTGCTTGTTCTAGCAAACTCAAGTTCCCTTTTGTTTTCTCCAGCTCAACCGACACTTCTGTGGTTTCTGACAGGCACTCATTGTCATCTTCTTCACTTTCAGGGAAGGGATTCTGAATTCTCTTCTCAAAAGGATCTGGGTGAGACTCCTGGGGTGCTCTTAGCTCTGTTTCTGAGTCACAAAGTGTTTCACAAGGCCCAAATTCTACCTCTTCCTTCTTAATTTCTGGGACTTCCAGGATGCTAGGTTGATTACACTCTATAATATACTTCTGAGTCACATGGGGCTTTACACTAGTTTCTTCTGAGAAATTTGAGGAGCTGTCCCACTCATTGTCCATAATTTCAGAGGTACTTTCATTTTCCTCAGATGAACAATATTTTGTGTCAGAAATAACAGTCTTTTCCTTTCCTTCAGCTGAATTAATCATGTAACATTCATCAGTGTCATCACTTTCTGTTTTTAAAGATTGAATACCGCTATCATTTAGATTTTCTGCCACTGTTTGAGTGGGTGCATCTTTTGCTAGTTTTCCCATGTTCATCAAAGATTTGGCTACGGCATCTTGATAGTTGGAGTAGTTATCTTTTCTTTGACTGGAATTTTCTTGCCCATCTGAATTAGGGGTTTCCTCAGATGATTTTGGAGTACTTTCCTCTGCATGAGAAAAAAGCAAGATAAAAATATGTAAGGGTTAAGTGACTTTTGTATCTTGCAGAAGTGATCTGAAGATATTTACTTACCAGTTGCCATTTCTTTACTCAATGGTACTCTGAAATGATTGAAATCACACCAAGGCTGTGTTTGAAATTACTGCTTATAACATCAGGAAAAGTCCTTATAAGATTATACCTACTTTATTTTACAGCTCCAAAGCTATATGAGAAATAAATGTGTTGCCAATTTTAACTGATGGTAAAGACATATATTATCTTAGAACACATACGCATTCATATACATGCATATAAAATGCCATATATAGATAGATGCTGTATATATACACAGTCTATGTCATATATGCATATATATATATATATATATATATAAAAACACACACATTTTTAAATTACTCGAATATATATTTTCACTTTTCTTTCATCCAAGATTCCCAAATATTTTCTCAAAATAGACCCTAATTACTTTTCCGGTCACCCCAGGTCCTGTGAAAGACCTTGATGGAAAAAACCCTCAATACTTCACAAAGGGCAGCTCCTGGTCACCATTGCAATTGCCACATTAAGTGATAGATCAGGTCATGCACAGGCAAACAGAAATGGTTGTTATGTACAGTCTCATAAAGGACTTGTTAAAGACACCACTGAAGTGCATCCTGTCTTTATAAACATCTTTCTTCAGAAGAAAAGCAGCAGCCAGCAGGTAATAAAGGCTGCATGTAGGAGAGGTTGTCGGTGTGGAAGACAATATGCCTTTTGTATCTCATTTAATTTTTTATAAACATTTCCTCTGACAAGGACACTCAAAAATACATCTCCATCATCTTCCTTTCTGGTAATTATCTCTCTAAAATCAACACTGGTTTGCCAGGATCAAGTAAATATTGCCATAGTAACTAAAAGCATTTTTGGATGAAGGGAAGAATTTAGTCACAACACTAGCCCCTTCAATAATGCTGATTATAGGGTACATTCTTTTGTTGGGATCTATTCAACATAAACTGAAAAATTTAACATTTTACTTCCTAGAAGGGAGGATGAATAAACAAGCACAGAGTATTTCATAAGATGTGTCTGTCCTCTCCTGAATCAGAAGAACTCCAGGTTTAAATAATAAATTAAGCATAGTCTAAAATGCAAATGAAGTTTCTCTCAATAACACAGCGAGCTATTAAGAGAAAGTGTAAAGGGTTATGATAATTTTAAAGTATTATGAACTACAGAAAACAAATAAAAAGCATTTTCAGTGAATATGTCCAATTCATTGAACTATTCTCTCAATCCACTTAACTACCCACATGTGTACAATAATGATTTATAGACATTATACCTAATTATGCATATTTGGGCTGTGTTAGAGTGCCTAACAAAAGCTCTAGAAAGCAACAATTACCTCTGTTGCTTAGCTACATAGTTTAAAATATTCCTATTAAGTGCAGATTATTGTGGAGGGGAAAAGGGGGACAAAAATGCACATGTGCACCACAATGCATTTCACTTTACTGCTGCCAAACTGTTAGCATTTTGGGTCATTTCCAGTTTACATAATTGTTTGGTTCAACTGTTTGTTATATGTTAAAAGAAAATATTGATTAATTCTTATTCTTCTTCAGAAAATTGGTCTCATGCAGGGAGAGGTGGCCTTGTGCACTGTGTGCATAAAGTTGTGTTTAAAAAAAATGTCTGTAAACCTTAGTGTAACTTTTTAGCAGCTGGTCTAGTACCACACACATTGCAGTGTTCTGAATAAAGAAGTCTGCTGTCTTTTCACATCTCAGCAAGTAAGAATGATGATTTGGCTCTATAACCAACTTTAGTCAAATGGGTTTTTATTATTTGCTCTTCTGCCATTTGGAAAATAACAGAATCCCCTCAGTGGATCATTTCAAAGAGCGAGAAGTTCTAGTTTTAAAAGAAATCTCTCACGCTTAAAAATAAAACAAAAGAAAAAAAAACTTGATAATAGTAACAGGCCTTTTCAGTTATTTTTCTGTGTGAAAGAAGAAAAATAATATAAATTAATAACAGATTTTTGCTCCTTAAATAATCAGAAATTTTTATATGCAATGTTTAAAAATTTGTTGTTGAACCATTCTTAATGGTTCAGCTGTCCCAGCTTTGCTTTTCACTTCTACAGGCTGTAAATTTACTTTTAAAATAATCAAAACTCAGCTTAGTTTACAGTTGCATCAATCCATGAACTGAAGAATTAACTGATCAACGCTCGGGAATCATGAGTTCACAACAAGAAGAGCACTACAAATAAACCTACATACCTAGCTGAAATGTTTTAGCTGAAATTTGTTTTGTAGCTGGCAAAACTAATGCAAAAGGGATAGGTTGTATTATCACCAACACAGGCAGGTTGGGAGAAATCTTGCTAGTATCAAATAGATCTTTCTGAGAATATTTGATTTCTTCTTTTGACTGAAGGCGTGGATGCAAGTAGGGTTCACCTACATTCACATGAATGGTCTTGGCCTAACAATTGCACTTTTTTAAAAAAAAGAACCAGTTAAATAACTTAGGGTCATCCACATATGGCAAAAGTTCTACCTTTACACTGATCATAGTTCTTTCCCTTCAGGTAGTTCTTCAGGCTGTGCAAAGGACAGACACAAGTGAAAGAAAAACACATTACTGAGGGGAGCTCTGGGTGGCCAGGAACCAGGGTGAATCAATACAAGAAAAATTAGATAAAACCTAAATATATCTCAAAAAAACTCCAACTAACAACCCCCCCCCAAAAAAAAAAAAACCAAACCCACACTCATACAGGAACTCTTATTCAAACAGCTTCTCTTATGCTCTTAGGAGGCAGAAATATTCCTTGCAGGCTAGACAGACACTGAGCATCATGGAGCTTTTTTCTTGAATTTACCTTAGTAATGTCACCCAAAAGACAGAGACATTGGGTATCACCTTGTTAATTAATGTTTTGCTTGAAGAGGGAACTCCCTTCTAGGTTTTCACAATTATAGGATGCAGACCCCTGGAAGAGACTCCTAGAAGACTTGCAAGTGACAACTGTCTGAAATCTTTTTTGTATTTAAATGACTCAAAGAACTCCACTCATTTCAGTAGAATGAGGATTTTTGTCTTTAACTTGAAAGACAACCTTCTTCTATGTGCTTTATGGCATTCATATGTATAAAATTTGGGGCTTTTGTTTTGTTTTTAAGGAAATTCTGTTTCGACTGAATAAAGACATAAATTCCTAATCTCAGTTCATCATAGAATCATAGAACAGACTAGGTTGGAAGGGACATAGAAAGATCATCTCATCCAACCTTTTGTGGGAAAGATAACCTAGATGAGATTATTTACCTGATCCTTCCAAAATATTTGATAAGAAGAAACTGAGTGGAAAATAAATTACATTTAAACTCCTGTAGCAACCAGTAACTGAGTGGAATAAAAGTTTTCATATTATTGATGATAACTAATTTCCTAGTGCCAGATCACATTGCTTTTTTCTTGACATTTGCTATCTACTGACGACCCCTCCTTTTAAAACAAATTTAGAATGTATTCCACTGATATCTTCCCACTTCCCAATTAATGATGTATGCAGAACTTCTTAAATATGTGGCAGCCAATTTAGTTTGATATTTTTTGTTCATTTTGAATATATATAAACATATATTAGAAGGAGCATTAAAGACATACTGTAGCTATATCTTTCTGTCTCCCCATCCTCTTCCATATTTTCCAGCATACATGTTGTAGAAGTTTCTATAAATTGTTGGATGTTTGGCTTAGTAGAGTTGGAATAACAAGTACAAAAGTGCTGAGTCTAATAATCGTGTTAAGCAGAACACACGTAGCAGTCACATGCATGAAATTGCTTTGCTAAATGTTAAAGTCAACAGTGTTTTGCTAAGCATTTTTTTTTTCTCTTGCTAAGAGCTCTATATATTCCAGTGAAAATCTGCTCTTCGTAAATGTGTTTTTTGCAGTGGTGGGCTTAACCTTGTTCTTTGACAGAGCTAGTGGAGAAGCAGATGCTGCTCCGTATCTGACCTGCTGCAGTAGTTGTCTCTGTGTGACCTACAAAGCATTTACTAGACCCCAGGAGGAGTTATTGTCCAAAATAACTGGAAGAATGATAGTTAAACCTAGACAGAAAGGCACCATTCCAACTCTGTTAGAATTCAAACACATTCTGAATCGTTTTTTTTAAAATACAGTTTCATATCTCCCTTCCTGTAGAATTCAAGTTCAAGCGGAGCCACCCTGCACAACTACCTGGAGCTGAGCTGCTTTCGACGACACTGATCTCTTCCTGTAAATCTGTCCTGTCTTCATTTTCTTCTTTGCATTCCAAGCTGGGGCTGTAGTGGCGGGGTTTCATTAACAGGGACTTCCTTTTGTTGACAGGAACGCCTGATAGCTGTTCTTCGGCTTTTCTCTTCTTAGCCATGGAGCATTTGTAGGCACTGTAATGATCAACAGCCAATGATAGAGAAAAAAGGTGGGAGAAGTGAGGGGCAAATTGTTTAAAAAATAGCACCATCCTCTAGTTTAATTCTAAGTATAAAAGTGAGGACTGGCAAAATATTAATTCACTTGCAGTTTCAGCAAGTTGTATTTAGTGGATATTTAATTTTAGCTCATGTACTCAAAGTTCAAGGCACAGATGAGTCCCACTTCTTTTCACTGCTTGCAAAATCTGTTTGGGTGAAGGGGAATGAGGAGGAAGACAAACCAAAAAACCCATAACCTAACATTCTTAATCCTAAATAAGCATATTATATATGCTTATATATTATAAGCATAAATAATCCAAACCCTGCTTGGTACTAAAATAAATACATCCAGGAAAGGATGAACAAAATTTTAGTCTGGATTGCTAATCCAGACAAACAGCTGAAGGGAAAAATATATCACCAGTTGTACCAAAACATCCTGAGACTTTGGCTCTACTACTTTTACATCCGTATGGATATCCAATCATGCACCTTGAGTTCAACAGCATAAAACCTGTGTGAAACACATTGTACCTTCAGAACATTTTGTAATACAGGTCCTTCTTTCAATATCAGTCCCAAGCATTGGTTTCATTTTATTACTTTCAGCCATAAATGCCTTGTTTAAGCTCTTCTCAGGCCTCTATGTAGACTCTGGGAAAAGGCTCCTCCAGAGGGCAATGCATCCCACTTAAAACTAGATCTATCTGATAAACACGGTGAGTTGTCCCCTGGGGAAAGGCCTTACACAGTCTAGATGCCTAACTTTCAGATGACCGACATAAGAAGAGAGGGCAGTATTTTAAAGAGGAAGATTTTATTAGGTTTGATACAATTCTCTCAGCTCCTATAAGATCTATGTATTGCTCTGCATATTTATTTGCTTCTACAGATATTTAGCAAAACCTTTGCTTCCATGTAGCTGATTTGCATGGAATATAGGTGTTACCATCACATGACACTTTCCATCAAGAGGCTTGAACCTTCAACCCTCTTTTTTTAATAACTTTTTGTGTAGGTGATTTGACATGATTTCATTGTTCTCTCACACACAATATTCTAAGAAATTTATGTAGTACGAATAATAGTGCTCATATTATATCTGTCAGAGATGAAAAAACTACATATATGAATCTGTGTAATCCACTCAATGGTTTCTCGACCTTAGGCACCCTCAGGGTGCATTACAAATCTACATGATGCCCTTAAGTGTTGCATTTTGCATTTGGCTCACTGTCTTAGCTGCGAGATTTGCAAAAAATCTGTGTATGCAGAGAACTCTTACTGGTTACACATATTACAAGCTCAACGGCATAAATTAATCCTTCCAAGGTATTTTATGTGCACTAAATTGGCTCAGGTTCTGATTGTTTTGGATGAAAGCATATGACTAACTTGAGATTTTTGTTAAAAAAAAAAATACCCATTTTTGGCCAAGCACCTTTTTGGCAATCCATCATTGCAAACATGAAGGACATGGAAATATGAAGATCTGCATTTTAGGAAGAATGTTAAAATTCTACCATATGCATCTTAAACACAGTGGATATTCTTGATCTTCTGAAAGCTGAAATGCTATGGACATCAGGAATACTGGATCCTAAGCACCTGTTGTCATTGAATATATTATGACTTCTGTGTTATTTCTCTGTTTATGAATAGAGGATAACATCAATATCATATTAAAGGTCAGAATCACATCAGTATAAGCATCCCCTTATAAATGATGCCCATATAACAGACATCAGGGATGGAACTAGTGTGGACAAATATGCATAATTTATTTCTAAGAAAATACAGTCAAGAGTCTCTTAATTTATATTTGTGAATGGCAATTCATACCATTTATGTTTTTTCAGGAAAAATGAATAAATGACAAATATTTGAAAACCCTTCGCACAATTGTTTTTATCAAGCATAACCTTCATTAGGTTTATTTTTGATCTTATTTATTTGTCAAGATTCAAGTTTACCTCCAGTAGCTACTGTGAGAGTGTTTAGGACATGATGAATCTCCAGTGTTTAATTCCCCTTTGACAATGCTACAGCTGTTTCTTACACAAGCATAATTAATAGATTTTTAGAACAGAAGATCCAATTAGATCATCTAGTATGCCCTCCTGTGCAATACAGGTCACAGAACTTCATCTAGCTCTTCAACTTTAATCCTGTAATTTGACTATTGTGTATCTTCTAGTCAAGTTAAGGGAAAACATAGTAAGCCATTAAATTGATTTCTGTATTCTTGCTCACTAAGTACAATCTTTTTCTAGCAACATTATGTTATAAGCTCACCACTGTGGGCTGGCATAACAGCTATTAAACGTGTTGTTTTTTTCACCACAACTCTGAAAGAGAGTCAAACTCGGATAGCAGACCACAGTCCAGACCAGGGCTGGGGTACTATTGCTACCTGCCACCTGCAGATCTGCTCTGGGAAATGAGAGCACAAGAATCCCACTTGTCTGTAACCACCAGAGTTTACAGTGGCAAATCAAAAGCTGCAGCATCAGTGTCAGGACAGGAGGCCCACAAATCTGTCTGGAAGCACGTTGTTCATGTTAGAAAGTTTGTCCTCTGTGAAAGACTGATTCATTAGCTTGTCCTTATCCTTTTCTGTACACAAGCGGCCACTTACCCAGATTTCCTCTACAGTTCCTATCATTTTCAAATAAGTGAATACATGAGATTCAATGTTAAGTAAAATAATTCCAGACACCTTCCACTCTGATTACAGGAAGATGACAAATGTTGCTTCTTTCCTAAGAAGTGCAAATTGCTCTCTATATGCCAGAAAGAGATTTTTCAACTCCAACAGAATATACGATTGTTTTCACTGGTGACTTTAAACTGCTCAGTGTTGAGTTTTAACTGGAATCTATTAGTTTCCAAGAGTCAGTTTAAAGCATGTACCAGCAATTCTTCTTTTCTACCTTACAATGCCTAAAAGTAAAAATGAAAATAAAACCAGAAAAAAAACACTTCACAAATTGTAGCTTTTTCAAGTACTTACACATGATTTGTAAAGTGTTTGATAAGGGACATTGGGAATTTAACGGCTTTGAAAAGAATGTATTTATGCCTTTGTAACATACATGATGATTTCACCTTTGTCTTAAAAAGTTTCATTTCTCTCTTTTGCTTGCCTACATTCACACATACACACACGTTAGCACAGATTTGTCAAGCTGTAGTTTGTCAAATGGTAAACCTATAATTTAGCTTCTCTATTACTCATCTCATAAATTCAACGTCTAATAGTTTTGTTGCTATTTATCAATGGCCTGCTTGTTGTCATGGAACACTGATTCAGCTGTCAAGGTTATTTGGTAATCTGAGGCTCATAAAACAAGGAGAAGCTCTTTTTGTTATGAGCCTAAAGCCAATACATTTTTTCCCCCAATTTAACTGTACTTAAATTTTATGAATAATAAATCATTTTAGTACTATATATAAGATGATGATGATGATGATGATGATTATTATTATTATTGTTATTATTATTATTATTATTATTATTATTATTATTATTATTATTATTATTATTATTATTTTAGTCAATGACTCTGTTACCAAAAGCAGTCTTGTGTCATTTATCATAGAGTGAGCCAAGATGGTTAAAATCTGAGACACATAAGACCTAGTTGCATGTGCTGGAAAAAATATGTATTTCATACCTAAATACTTTCAAAAATTTATTTACTAGGTTCTTCTCTTTCCTTTATTTCTGCTCAGAATATATCTTGAACAGTGTGGGCAGACACTGGTAGTATACAGGCAGAACAGTGCATTGGCTCCCCACCACAAAGCAATGCCTCAGATGAAAGAGTTTTTAAGCAGTCCCTAATCACATACAGATTTTCCTACTGCTGAAAATTGTCATGCTTGCCTTTTTTTATTTTTTTTTTAATTGGTTCATCTAAGTAATGTGTTTGTCAAGCCTTTAACCTGACCTTTAACCACTTAGTAGCCAGCAAGAATTTTTTCTTAATCTGTTGGCAAGACTTCCAGATCTCTGGGGATTTTTCTCTTATTCACAGCAGACTGCCAGTTGGTAAAGCATGATAACAGAGCTAAGAATTGCCATAGTGGGTTAAACCATGGGTACGTTCAGCCTGACAACTGGTGTTTACTAATGCCAGTAATGGATGCCATATAAAATAATAAGAACAGAACACACCGCATCTCATGTACTCTCCTTAACTTCAAGAGAGAAAATAAAAGTCTTTGAATATCAAAGCAGGTACATTTATTGTTTAATGCTATTTAAGGAGCCCACTCGTCATGTGATTTTGTGCAGGAATAATTAGTGAAGCATTTTAGTTTGCATAGAAAATAATTCTAAGCCTGAGTTGCCTTTTGACTGTTTGCTTAACTATTACTACAAAATTGTTATTGAATTACAGATAAAGGGGACATCATCTTCTGATCCGAAGAATCATTTAACTTCACACCAGTAGTTAAAAGAGAGTTAGCCTAACTACTCCTTAATCATACTGTGAGTAAAGACATTGCCTGCTGCTTTAGACCTTGATTGGATTTTACTCACAATCTTGCAGATACCATAGGACACTGTGTAAGTCAAACACTACATTTTTCTTACGGGAGAGAAAAGTTGGCATCTGAAAATTCAGAGACACTTGCCATTCACAGATAAACTGGTAGTTTACAAATGTCTGTCATGGTGAGGCTTTCTACTAAGAATTTTAGGACTGCACTGAATAAGAGGCACTTAAACCGAACAAAAATTCTTAATGTCTCCCCACTTTAGTCCTCTTCTATGTATGCTTGTTCTTTAAGAAACAGACGAACTGGATTCTGTCTGACCATCTAGCACAATGGTTTCCAAAGCTTTAGGTCCTAGCTGAAAGAATCAGATCCCCCAAAATCACACAAAAATCCTGAGCTCCTCACAAACTGATGATGAAGAGGAGAAATTACTAGCACTGGATACAGAAAGAGGATGATGC